ACTCTTGGAGCAGAGGCCTCTTCTTACTATGCTGTTGCTGTGGTAAAGAAGAATTCGGGGGTGACCTGGGACACACTGAAGGGCAAGAGGTCTTGCCACACAGGCCTTGGCAGAACAGCTGGCTGGAACATCCCCATGGGTCACATCCATAGTATAACTAATGACTGTGACTTCAGTAAGTAACTGTGTGCTGCTTCTTCCAAAACATCTGCGCATATACTTTTAATTTGAAATTGCGTTAAGAATATGATATTAATAATAATATGCAGATTTCTGTAAACAAAATGCAGAAAAATGTGAGCGTTAACACCGACACACCATACTGACTCTACTATATTGACCTCCTTCCTCCCCTCAGCTAAGTTCTTCAGTAGCGGCTGTGCCCCCGGAGCAGACCCCAGCTCTTCATTCTGCACTCAGTGTGCCGGCAGTGGCAAAGCTGTGGGAGATGAGTCCAAGTGCTCTGCCAGTGCTGATGAGAGATACTACGGCTATGCTGGAGCCTTCAGGTAAATGAGTGAAACTATTCCTCTGCATAAACGTTTATGTGCATGTATGTTCAAAGAATAGTTTGACATTTTGGGAAATACGCACATGTGCTCTTTCTGAGAATTAGAGAAGACTGGTGCCATGTCTGTATGGAGCTTAAACCAGGAAGTTGTTAGCATAGAATAGATTAGCACAAAGACGGTAAGCAGAAGGAAACGACTCTCTCTTCAGCAAGTGTCTCTAAAGCTCTAAATAAAGCAGCAACAAGGGACTTCATTTTTCTTTTTTTCATTTTTGTATATGAAAAAATATGTGGTTTTATGGGGACTTGCGTGCTACTATAGCTCGACAACAATGTTGCTGTTTCACCAAGAAATGGTAACATGCCCTTAACTACCCGCAATGAAAAATTATAAAATGATAAGCACTTCAGCTTGTGTATGGCTTAAACCAGGGGTTCCCAAACTTTTTTCTCCGACAATAGATACACAAACCCCCAATTTGAGATGATTCTGTCTTAAAGAATCCCCTCTGAGTATTTTTTACGACTTTCTAAGTCTAACTAAGTCTTCAAAGCTAATCAATGATCAAACTGGGACCACTGTAAAAAACAATCATTCCTTTGTTGTTCCAACTTGCAAAAAAATGATAAAACCAAATTCAAGGAACCCTGTTGGTCCTCTGTTGGTCCCCTGACCACGCTTTATGGCTGTTAATAGGCGTATTTTAACTTAATTCTTCATGCTAAGCTAATCTTTCCATCTCTGTACGTAACACAGACATGAGAGGGGTAATAATCTTCTCATCAAACTTTTGGCAACAGACTATCACTTCTGTTTATGGGTGTGTGTTTTTATGTTGTTTGTGATCCTCAAACCTCTGACAATTTTCCATCGTTAAGTGATACGCAATACATTTTTTAACCCATAAATCTATTTCCAAAAATGGGTTGAATTACTCTTCCAGAGCACTGTGCTTAGGGGTGAAACTTCATCTTCATATATTGCATGTCATTACAGATGTCTTGTTGAGGGTGCCGGCGATGTTGCCTTCATCAAACACACAATCGTCAGTGAAAACAGCGATGGTAAGAGACTGACACGGACCTGTTTGCATCTCAACTACGACTGTATTTATAAACTATAACCTTCTTCTTGTCATCTCTTCTTGTCAAAGGTTCTGGTCCAGCGTGGGCAAGTGGTTTGAATTCTAATGAGTTTGAGCTGATCTGCCCTAACAAGAACCCGGTGCCAATCACTGAATATGCCTCTTGCCACCTGGCTCTTGTCCCCGCACACGCCGTGGTGACTCGCCCGGAGAGCCGCGGTGAGGTGGTCCGCATTCTCCAGGACCAGCAGGTCAGTGGTTATTTTTTTTAGTGTTGCTTTTAGTTTTTTGTTTGTTTGTGTTAAAAAAAATATTCCTTCACAATAACTGGGAGGTCAGCTGAGAGTCAGAAGAAAGTTTTTTGGTGTTTTTGCAGAGACAATATTGCATTACATTTGCACTACATATTATTGTATATAAGTGGCCTCCCAAAAAACTCTTCATCCTCAAGCAGACCAATATTATCCAGCTAGGTTTCTTTTTTACTATAGTTGATACTTACATTTTTGCTGATGTGCTTTGTGGCACTTACAATTCTTACTCATTCACGTTCTGCATGTAGATGTTTTTAGACCAGAGTCCCTTCTTTGTTTTCACTCAGAATTCACATAAAGCAAATATTTAGGTGAAACTACTACAATAGGATATTGGGTACAGTTGTTATGTTGCACTGAGGCATAACATACAGGGTAAAATTCAAAAAGAGTGTTTTGAGGGAATTCTTTGCAAAATTATTTTACAGGTATTTTCCTCACTTTCAACATAATTTTTCACCCTAAAACTGTTTGTTTTTTGTCTGACCTTAACAAAGACGTTTAAATAACAAACAAAATTTTTTTTTAAATGTCTGTTTTATATATTATTATTATTATATTTTTTTACTTCTAGGCAAAGTTTGGTAGCACTGGCAGCGATCCCACATTCAGACTGTTCCAGTCAGAGTCAGGCAAGAACCTCCTCTTCAAGGACTCCACCAAGTGTCTCCAGGAAGTCGGAGCTGAAACATCCTTTAGCACGTTTCTGGGCCCAGACTACATGAATGCCATGAATTCACTCAGACAGTGCAGTGGGTCCACTCCAGGTGCGTACTATTGAAGGTTATAATGTGGGATACCCTTGAAGCCGAGACACATTACACTCACCATAGCTAAAATACGTGTCTGCTCTGCATTCTCAAGTGTGTTTTTTCCGCTTTTTCTCTTCCCAACAGATCTGGAGAAATCTTGCTCTTTCCATTCCTGTCAGCAAAAAAACTAGTGCCAACCACGGACCCTGTGGTGCCTCATTCAGCCTTCAGTGATTCAAGCAACTTACCCACACTTCCCACACACAACCCAAAAATTGCATTTTGTATTTTCCTACTGCTCTTGTTGTAGACCTGATTTCAGAAATTCAACCAACAGATACATATCACTACCAATAAAGCAACTATTCTGTGACCAATCATGTCCTTTTGTAGCTATTTTCATGACCTGTATTACTGGACCACCGATGTTTTGTTAACACTTTTCTCTAATAAAGCATTTTTATTCCTCTTTTGTGGTGACATTGTGGTTTGCTTTGGTGGCGTAATGTATCATATCGCTAGAAAGTACATACTGTAGTCATATTGTAATTGAAGTAGTATATAAAGGGACAATACTGTCAAATTTGCTTCCAATGTAACTTTAAATCTTTGTTGTAAAACTCTCTTGGAGTCTAAAAGGACTCATAAAAACCGTGCATGGACTTAAACATTATGTATGAAGCAGACAAGCACATTGCAGAGTGCCATTAATAATAACAGGTAGGTCTACTGTAAGAGGTGAATGAACATGATAAGAGATGCAGCCCAAAATGTTTTACAACTGAATAATCAATGTAACAGTGATCAGGTAACAGTCACACTTTTACAAGCTGAGGTTTATTTCACCAACAAAGATAAGTCAGTTTTAAAGTCTCAGTCTGTACCTGAATGAATCAATGAATAAACAGATGCTGTGCTTTTTAGGTAGTCTGATAAAAGCCTCCACTAAATCCAAAATCTGCACAAAATATTGTGATAGACATCTCACTATTATCAGACAGAGACTTCTATAATACTGGGAGAGTTTTCACAGTACATGGACCCAGTCTGGATCATGTATGTGTAATGTCAAAACTTACGCAATAGACAAACATACTCTGGTTGACTTAAGCCGTTGGTATAACTCGCTATCAGACCCGAGGACAGAACCTTACTTTGGGCCCTTATTGACCCGTTGTTTGTGGTTACTGACATTTATTCAGAAATATGCACCAAGTCACTTTTGATACCCGGCCATTATACAAATGTTGACTGCACAGATAATAATACAGGATACACCTTAAGGCCTTTATCATTTCATTATTTATATCATATCATTACTTTTTTTGGTAGTGCATATTCCCAAACAAATTAAATTAAAAACTTGATAATTAATTAACCTTTTCATTCATTTATTGTCATTTTTCAAGTAAAAATCAGAAACATTTGATGATTGTTCCAACCTCTCAAATGTAGGGATTTTTTTTATCATAGTTTAAAGACCAGTGTGTAGGATTTAGTGGCATCTAGCGGAGACTCTACAGGTTGCAACTAACTGAACACCACTCGTATCTGTATATGACGAAATTACAGTGGCCGCAAAACTTGCAAAACATGCGAAATTCCCAATCTACAGCCAGTGTTTGGTTCGTCAGTTCTAAGCTACCGTAGAAACATGGCGGTTCAACATGGCGGCCTCCATGGATGGTGACCTTCAGTGTCTGTAGCTAAAAACAGCTCATTACAAGGTAACAAAAACACAGTGATTCTTATTTTCAGGTGATTATACACTAATAAAAACATACCTATGAATATTATATTCCATTTCTGCCAATAGATCCTCCTCAGTGTGACACTATGTATCCTTATAAAACTATATTTACTATATTTACTATATTTACTATATTCTGACATCTTACAGAGGAAATATTAGTCAACTAATAAAGAAAATAATAATTAGATTAGTTGATAATTTAAACAATTATAATTCCCACTTTCAATACCAACCTTATCCATTAATCCATTAATAAATATAAGCTGTCCTCAGGTACAACATCTCCACTGTCTGCCCATTTTCACTGACTACGTCTGAACAATATGATAAAGGAATATAAAACCAGGAACACATGTTGGAGTTTCCCCTGATGTCTTTTTTTAGACCACGAAGGACTTTAAAATATTAAATTACACACTCTGTATAAATAAAAACAGGCCTGGCACAGACTTCGTGTGATACACATGAATATATATTGTGTCTGTTCCTACTTTTAATATCACATTATTTTGAGGCATGCGTTGATGAATTGAGCTCCTGTGTCACATGACAAAGGAAACGGCATCACATTTTAATTTACCCGGAAGTTAGCCATGCGACTGGAGGCGCACCGGCTCCATAGACCACAAACATCGCACTATGGCCTCGCTCTGAGCCTCCTGATGCGACAGCTGTGTACATACCTAACCGGCAATCCGTCACCATCGACGCCCTAATCATGGACCTCCGGTCCAGAGGCTTTTTTCGGGGCCATCGGAGTTGTCAATAGTACTCCCGAAGTACTGTATTATTTGATTTTGAGCACTGTCACTTTTGCACGCCCGGGGATTTAAACCGAGGTGACAGTAGTAGCACTCACCCCGTCTGCCGGTTAGCTAGCTCGCTAAGTCAATAGCCAAGAAGGGCATCACTTTTCTTTTGGAGTTAAAGGACAAGAAAACTGCAACAGCACTACTTTAAATACCCGAAGACTGATCAGAGGCTGATTCCCCGAGTTCCCATCTTACAACATATTCACAGTTGATTCCTGGTAAGAGTAAAACCAACTGACTGCGGCTGTGTTAGCTTCAAGTACACTCGAGTTTCATATTTGTCAAAGGCACACAGGCTAGCTGATGCTAGCTGATGCTAGCTGATGCTAGCTGGTGGACCGGGCCCTGTCAGTCCACACACCGGGGGGAGCTAGCCTGCTAATCCTGCCCAGAACACGAAAACGGGGTAAAACCGGATTAATCTGCATGTCTTAGCGTTATTTAAAATGTGTTTATTTCGTTGATCTTGAGACATCCGTACAGTAGCTTAGCTAAAGTTAACATAAGGTTAGTTTAATGACAGCCGGGGCTCCTCGCTGTCGAGGCTAATCTTCACCCGGTTTACCGTCATCACCCTCGGCTCCGCTAGCCAGCCCTAACCGCTTCGTGTTTTATTGTTTGAAAGAAAACAACCTCGGCTGTCTTTAGAGCATTTAAAAACAAGAGACATTAAAAACAATCTGATCGTGTTTGCGTTGTCCGCGCAGTGTTAGTTCAGGTTAAATGTCAGGTTGCTCTGCTGGGCCTGTAATTAAATACAGCTCGTAGGACGGGGCTGGGCTAAAGCGCTAACATTCACCAACAATAGCTCAACTGTAACCTCATCGGTGTCAAATGTTGCTACGTTACTGCTAAAGAGGGCCGGCTCGTTTAGCTGTGGTTCAGTTTTTGGATGAGTAAAGGTGTCTCGATGTAGCAGCAGACGGAGCTGTGTGTGTGTGTGTGTGTGTGTGTGTGTGTGTGTGTGTTAAGGTTAAATGTGGCCACGTCTGTGATAGTGGGGGACACGTAACGTTAGCCGGCTCTTAGCTAAAGCGAGTTATCCTGCTTCGGCCGGCGCTGCTGCCTCGCTAGCGGGCCAGTAAAATGTCTTTCATCCTAAAAGAAAAACTTAGCCAACACCCAACGGGAAGGGTTTGATATTTTTCCCTGTCGTGTGTTAAAGGTTTGTGAGGCTGTTGGCCATGTCTGCCGGGAGAACCATATGGTAGCTTTGTACATTGATGTCCTGTCTCAAAGAAGCATGGCATTAGCTAGAAGCTAACGATAGTTCCTGTGTCAGCAGGTGGATGGTGCATGACACGTCTGCTAGTAGTTATTCATCAGGGTTTTTTTTATTTTTTTATTATTAATTTCATCATCGTGTCTGAGCTGTTCCAGCAGCTGTACAACAATGATTTGTCTTTTTATGATAAAAATCGGTTTTCAGAAATGGAGTTTGACGTTACGTTGTTGGACTAGATTATTTGCACATGTAGCTAGCACAAGCAGGGGGCATTGAAGCCACTGTTAACACAGTAAATGAACTTTGACCTGAGGTATCCATTTTCTTAAATTCACTCAAAACCAGACCAGTCCTAGTGATTTGGTGGCCGTCAGGTATGAGTTGGAAGTAGATCTTCAAGTCATTACAAGTAATCCACATTAGTATTTGTTCCCTCGTTTACTTTTTTGCTGTTTGGTCAAGTCATGAGCATTTAGGATTGTGTTTTTATTTTTCTTATTTAACAGTTACAGTCCCTTTTTTGTAATAATTTAATATCCACCATGACCTTTTTTTTACCTTCTCAAACAATAGACAGTTTTGGGGTGGAGGTTAAAGCAAGTTAGTCCATTGCCAAGCTTTTTGAACAAGTTATTTAGAGAGGATATGAACACTAATTGCTCATAAGACTGTATGCAGGAGAGCCATGCAGTATGTAAGTGAACATTATGGGAGGTGATGGTGGTGGTGGTGTTATCATAGGCGAAACTACAGACCACACCCTCACTGCTTAGTTAGATGTTGCCACACTAAATGTTCTTGTCTTTTTCCAGTGTTGTCTCATATCTGAGCTGCAATTATCATGTTTAATGAAGATCAATGCCCTTGATTAACACTTGGCTTATGCTTAATTGTTCTCTTTTTTTTCTCTCTCTCCCTTGCTCTTCTTCCTCAGACAGGTTGGCAACAAAACGCCACCCTAATGCAGAACCATAAAAGAACGTGAAATGAACAAACCACCACAGCCTATAACGGGACCTACTTCTGTCCCAAACCCTTCCCCCTCCCCCGGATTGTCACAGGTGACTACATATGACCTTTTGTAAAATAAGTTGTTTTGGTAGATTTAAAGGTTGGTAAAGCTAATTTACTAATCTAAGTTTCTTTCTTTCTCTCCTCAAGGCGGCATACGGCCCTGGACAACCCCCTTCTCTTGTTTTTGCCACCCCCCCACCTCCACAAATGAGCTCTGCACCACAGGCAAGACAGGTATCATTCACAGAATGTCCTTTTCAGCATTTAGTGTCCACGTATGTGATCTGTTTTGCTTCGTATAAGAACCCTCCCTTTCCTACCCTTTCACAAAGAATTCTGACGAGGCTTCTTCTGCTATAAGGCTTTGGCTAAATCTGTGTGTGTGTTTTTAGCCTATTTGCCATCTTTCTCCTTGAATGTCTATCTTGACTTCTTTCCTCTCTTCTGCTGTTCTCCCAGTTTGCTGCAGGGCCCCGTACTTTACACCAACAGGTACTAACACCCCTCACTTCTCCTTACATCCCCTCTTTCTCCTTAGTAGTGTAATGCATGCTTTCAGTTCCACATGTTTGGGAACGCTGTAGTGTTTATTAGATGAGATAACTTTTCCTGCCATCCAGTAGCATTGAGTCCTATATCTCATTTTGGAAATGCATATTTCTCTGTAGGAAGTTGTGCCATTTTTGTTTTTTTGTTTGAGTTTATCCAGGCCTTTTTTTATTCATCTTGCACATACTCTCGGCCCTCCCATACTTCTCTGAATTTTTTCAATCATTTTGTAGTATCTTTTGTAGTTTAAATTAAAACAAGAATATGCCTTTTTTGCTACTTCAGATAATGTTAAAGTAGAGTTTAATATTAAAGTGAATAGATTTTTGGTACCTGCAGCACTCTTACATTCATTCACTGCCCGCATGTGCCTGTAGCCTGTAAAATGATTCTTTAACCACTCTTTTACTTGGACCCGGAGGACTTCGGAGGATCCTACTACTGCAGTCCTGTACAGAGTTGCATGTGCAGCTATGGTTGTTTGAGCTTACTGTTCATGGCTGAGAGATATTTTGCTGCTGCCTCTCATACTCTTCCTTCTTACACCCTTGTAATCTCAACCTTCCACATTGTCTCTTGTCCTCATTTTCACCTTAATCTCACTCCCTCTCTTGCTCTCTGCTCATGTGTTGTGCGGCTGAAGGGTGGATACAGAGCATTACAGGTAACAGCTTTTCTCTTCGTCCCTGCCCCCCTCCCCTCCCTTTTAACTTTGGCTAACTTCAGTGTAGCAGTGAGACATGACATTCAGTACAATTTAGACTCTTGTGTAACCCAAGAACTGAACTTGCTATACATATTGCCAGTTGCTGTGAGTGCTTTGCTTCCAGCTGAGGTTAGGGGTGTGTGCGCCTGGACACCCACAAGCACAAACACACAGAAATGCTGCAACATCTTTACAAATGGGTTAGGACTACCATAGTTGAGACACTAAATGTACACACAGACCAACAGGTTTGCTTGTGCTGTGATACACTCTTCATCTTTCTTCCTTCATTCTCCCTCATCTGTTCTCCTAGAGTTACTATCAGAACCGACCAGCCATGGCCACCAGTGCTCCAAGGGTACAGACAAGTAGTGGCCCACGGCCTGTTGGTCCTGCTCACGTCTACCCGCCCAGCTCCCAGATGATGATGATTTCCCAGCAGCAGCTGTCTTTCGCTGGCTCCCCTCAGGGTTACTTCATCCCCCCTGGACAGGTTGGTTCACATTAGTAAACATCAATTCGTTAAAATTAATTACAATTCTATCTAACGACCTGCTCATAGAGTACTGAGTATATGCTCATCATATTACCGTACTGGCCCAGATATAAGATAGTGGGTTTTTTTGGCAAATTTCTGTTCATATTGTGTATTTTAGACTACGCCAAGTTAAGCCTACTGGAGTTCCTGACAGCTTGTGTAGCATGTTCTGCTGCCACAGAGAAATTAAATGTTTGACGAGTGAATATGAGTTGAAAGCATCTCTCAACATCAACAATCAGGGACCAAATCATCTGTCAAGCAATTACCAGTGTGACAGAATGACAGGATGGGAAGCTTAAAAAGAAAACCGCTAATATCCAGAGAAAATCCTTCTGACAGCTTCTAAGAGCATATGACTGATAGACACAATGAAAAATTAGCTGCATTTGAAAACAATTGTACAAGCTACACAAATGTAGGAGTTTCTTGTCTTCCAAAAACAGGTGTTGGAAAAAGGGGGTCATCTTATTCGGGCCAATACGGTACGTTACTGCGGAGATGGCAGAGATTGACCTGAAGCTGTCACAACTTAATTGTTCCATCTATTGTTGTTGTTTCTGACTCTTTATTTTGTTTCTGCAGTACCGGCCCCCGTATATGCCTCCTACTCAGCAGTATCCTGTGACCAGCGGTACAGCAGGCTTCTATCCAGGAACTAGCCCTGCTGAATACCCTGCTTATGGTAAGAGTTTTTGCCCAAAACCAACCACAACCAAGCACAACCATAAACACGGAGGACTTTCAGTTAAAAGGGTGAATTCAGAAACACCAGAAGCCCAAATTTGACTGAGATTTTAAGTTGAAGCATCTAGTTTTAGCCATTTGTGCACTTCTTTGCCCATACGGTACTGCTGGGTGTGTCATGGTTTTGCTTGGCTGGTTGGTGTGTTTAATGTCTTCCTGGGTTTAAAACACTGCTGTATGTGGTGAACTGCCAGTTGCATGTGGTCTGGCTTGATTCTGCTTTGGCCTGTGTTCTTTCTATCTGCAGTCTCACCTGACACTGCCTTACAGGTTCCATGAAATGGCCTTTGAGACAAGATTTTTGTTCTTTCTGGATGTACGTACATCCATATAAAACTTGATGTTGGGGTGGGATTTAATGTTAGGAGGGATCTAATTTGAATATTAATGACAGTTCAAAAGTATCTATGACAAAGGTTCCCAAATGGCAGGCACACATTTGAGTCTGGTTGCAACTGCACTTCCAAAATATTCTTTTAAATGCCACCCCAAACACACATCTGACCTGTGTTACTGCTGCAAATACTAATTTTCTTAAGGACAAATGTATATATTTTTCAATGTAAGGCATTGGGTGAAACTAAAACCGACCATTTTATTGCCTTATGCTCGCTCCTGAGTGGAACATGGTTCATTGAACAGAACTAAAAACTTTCCAGGAAGTGAAGTCGGATTTATATTTAAACACTTGTCAAAAAACAGTTGACATAAGAATAAGATGCAGCCAGGAACACGAGGTAAGAATACGGTAAAGACGTTGTTCATTTCATGGGACCTTTTTTAACACCCTGCTTCCTCTGGATCCTCTCATTAACTCATTCTGCATCTGTCTCTTCCTGCCCTCTCTCCTTCTTTCCTCCCTCTCCCGTCCCTCACTCCCTTCCTCTCGTTTGCTGCGTTGGTTCAGAGCCCTCTCTTGCTGCGAGGGAGAGGCGGGGTGGTGGGGGGAGAGGGGGCGGGCGAGAGAACGGCCGTCTCTCTCTCCACGGTGCTCCTCTCACCTCCCAGCGCTACCCTGGTGAGTAGTGTGTGTGCTTGTGTGTTGGTCAGCAAGCTTTAGTGGCAAAAAATCTCTGTGGCACTTCCTGTCGCTGATAGTGTTGTAAACATGTGTTGTTTCTGTATTTCTTTTGGTACCACACACATGTACAGTATACTTCTATGTGCAAATGGGATACGAAGTGAAGGTCACGTACATAAAAACGTTCAAGCTACTATAAATGTATTGAGAAAGTAGCAATTCCTTTCCAAAATGAATAATGGCGGCTCCCCGCAGATTTCCTGCTAGCTTGGTACTGAAATTCCAGTTTTACAATGTCATATATTTCATGTTTTATTAAATTATGTATTTTATGTGCTTAGAATGAATGAAATCACGGATTGCAGGAATCTTGATATATGAGAAGAAAATAAGTAACGTCGGCTGCAGCACTTTAACATGCAGCTTCTGTCCGACCTTCACAGTCTGGATGTGAAGGTCATTACTACAAAAGCCTGTGTCATAACCAATTTCATAGTGGTGCTTTTAAGATGCAATAACTTTAACATTCACACAGGCTACCTTCATCTGTAGGAGGGGACGATTGCCACCAAAAACTGGGGTTCATTCGTATAGTTCAACTTAGCCATCGCAGTAATGGCGCTGTCACTGGAGAGTGACACACAAATCACCCGGCAAATCTGTCGATATATAAAATATTTGCAAGTTTATATTTTGATACACACAGTTCATGTAAGCTCTCTGTGTGGATTCTTGTTTTTGTGTTCCTACAGGAAGGTCAAAATATCAATCGGGCCTACAACCTCAATGTACCCCCACATACCGCCTTGCAGGGGTTTTCATAAAAACACCTCAAATAAAACATTTTGGGTGATAACTACAGGGGGTAAAAATCCTGTGAATCTTGGTTGGATGGTTATTTTAGTGTGAAGCTGCATCTTATACTTGAGTAAATAAAAACAATCTTTCTTTCAATCTTTGTTTCACTCTAACCTTACAGCGGGAGCATACTATCCAGCTCAGCCGCAGTACTCTCCCTCTGTCCCACCGACACCAGTCATGATCAACCCGGCCCAGCAACAGCAACAAGCCCCGCCTCCTCAGCAACCACCGGCACAGTCACAAGGCCCACCAAAGAGGGAACGCAAACCGGTAGTGTGTCACAACAAAAGGGCAGCGCGCCTCTTGTCTGAGGTCAAAAAAAAATTTGAATGGACAGAAAGTGTTTTGTCTGTTCAATGTGGAACTTTCTCTTTTACCTGAAAATAACAATAGTATTTATTATGTTGGGTGGCAGCTATAGATCAGCAGTGACGGGATCATTACATACTGTTGGCATTTTAATGTTGGTTACATGTTTGGTGGAAACTTAACCAATATTTCCCCTGTCTCCTGATAGATAAGAATACGAGACCCAAACCAGGGCGGACGTGATATCACAGAGGAGATCATGTCAGGTGGAAGGTCCACGACCACACCGACTCCCCCACAGGTAAGAGTGATTTTGGGAAGACTGGTTTCTACTGACTGATTTTAAACTCTGATCTGAAATAAGCATGGTTGTGTGTGTTTATAGTTAAAGACGGAATTGTTTTATTGATTGTTATACTGATAGTGAGTCCTGAGTACTAATAATGAGTCTTGTTTGTGTAACTCTGGGTTAAAGGTATAGTTCTTCTTATTTTAGAAATCAAAGTTATTATTGTGTATTTTGTACTGACTTCAGGTACTTTACATGTGGAAAATAAAGTGAATGTAAGGCATAAAACTGGTTCTAACTCAAGCTGTAAAAGAAAATTTAGAGACTGCAATTCTGACTTTTATTTTGTCTACCCTGGCAGTTGGCTTATCTGGGAATGTTGTAATTTTTCTAAAAGTAGAACAAAAATGCAGTATTTACTGTTTAAAGTCTTTTTAATTATACATAAGAACACGGTTGAAAAGCGTACAGCTTGAGCAAATTGTTACTGTATTCCAATTTTGAAGGAAAGCAATGACATTTGGTTGGTTTCTATGAACAAAGGACACATTGTTGGAGAAAACAAAGCACAGCTCAGGAATGGTTTCACAGATCTTATTTATTTTTCATAGAGGTGATTGCATGTTTTCACATCTCTGTGCTAACATCTTATTATCAGCACAGAGTTTCAAAGAACAAACAATGGAAAGCTAAAGCAAATACACACAAATATGCACTGATGTTTTGAGCTGTTATATTTTTAGCCTAGTTTGCCTTAACCTGTACATGGAGTTGCCAGTTGGTTTGGGCAGAACAAAATTCAATATAACTTAATAATGGGATAAACTACAGCCTTCAAAATGACCAAAGAGCTTAATCAACTCTTCTCCAACACAGTCCCAACTAAAAGTGAACATAATTTCATGGAAATTGGGACAATGGTTGTAATATGTGTATTTCCATTTCAATCGATGCTTAACAAAAATACTGTTTTGTAACTGCAGGCCTCCATAGCCGATGCAAGTCCTGTACAGACCAATGGTGAAGTCGCTACGGTGACTAGAAGAGGTGAGTACATTTTCTCAGTTTTGGTTTACACAAAAAAATGCAAGGTAGTTGTATTCCACATTGTTCTAATTGTGATTACTTCATGCGTTTCACTGGTCAGATGAAAACATGGAGCCTCCTGCTAGCGCTGAAACACCACCACCTCCTGCCACAGAAAATGCAGAGCCTGTGGTGGAGGCCAAACAGGAAATGGACAGTCAGACTGCACCACCTGATGAGTTAGCCGCACAACCGGTAGCTCCTGCAGCTGCTACTGAGGTGCCATCACCATTGATAAAGGACCAGCAGTCTTCCTCCCCCCCCCCTCCAGCATCAGCATCTACTACACCTCCTGCCGAGGCAGTAAATAAAGTTGATACTAAAGTTAGTGACACAGTAGACGCTCCCGTCGTCCCTACGGCATCATTAGCGGCACCTGAGGCTCCTGTCAAACTGGAGGAACCGCCGGCTGCCCCAGCTCCAGCTGAGAAGGCGCCAGAAAAGGAAGAAAAGACAACAGAGGAAGTGAAGAAATTGGAAAAGGAGGAGCAGGTGACCAGCGCTAAGTTGGAGACCGCAGTTGAGGTTGCTGTGACAGTTAACCCTGTTGAAGTGGCCAAAGAAGAAACTGCTACAAAGACGGCACCTGAAGTCTCTCAGCCTCCGCCCTCTGCACAGGAACCTGCTGCTCCACAGACCCAGAATGCTGCCCCGATCTCAGCCCCTGAACTCGAACCTGAACTCAAACCTGAACCCGAACCTGAACCCGAACCCGAACCCGAAGCCATTCAGGCTGAAAAGGCAGAGCCTCTTCTCTCCAACGGCCTTCCTCAGGATACTGAGGAACTCTCTGAGGATATGGCATTTTCAGACACTACACCCATTGACAAGCCTGACGCTTCTCAATCTCAGGAATCCACGCCTGTGGCTAAAATGGCAATGCTAGCCCAGGAAGAAGAGGAAGAGGAGGAGGAGGAGGAGGAGGAGAAGAAAGAGGAAGAAGAAGAGGAGAAGGAGAAAAGTGAGGATGCCCCTGCTACCACTGTTAGCTGCCCTACCGAGGAACCTACTACTATGCAAGGTAAGTTGATTCTCCCTTGCATTTATGACTGTCAATGTGTCATGCAGGTCTTCTGTGAGATTTAAATGTCAATGTCCTTTTTCTTGAAGCTGCTACGTCTGTGCCAAAGAAGAGGAAGAACATGAAGGAGTTCAACAAAAAGGAGAACATTGGAAACCTCCTGGATGCCTTCACAGAGGTATGTATCAGTCCAGGTGACAACATGAAAGATTGAAAATAACAGCAGTTCCAGCTTTATCAATAATATTTGAGGATATTTTACAATCTCTGAAGAGTAACTAGGTTATTATAATACTTACCCATCTCTTCCTGCTGTGTTTGCTGCAGGAGCAGGGTGCCAAGCCTGCTTCTGAACCCTCGTCCACTCAGGCCGACCCCGTCCCTGTTGTTCCAGCTAAACCTCCCGCTGAGGTTGTAGATGAGACTTGGGAGGAGAAAGAGGACAAGCAGAATGCAGAACCTGACAGTTCTAAAGCCACACCTGAGCCAACTGGGCAGAAATACCAGTACAAAGGAGGTAGGTTGGCACGGTTAAATGATTGTGGGTGTGGGTGTGGCACTGCCGTTTTGATGTACACTTGTAGTTATGATGATGGTTTTTAGTTGCACATGAATCCTAAAGTTAATAATCAAGAGTACAGTCAAATTTCATATTTTTGTTTAATGTTAATGCTACCTTAAGCTATTTCATAAAAAATTAACCTAATATTTTCAGTCATAATTCACAAAAGGACACAATTTATGACCTTTTACTAAAGGTTATTTTAGATACCTTTCTGTTCAAAATTGTGTTCATCCCTTTTTAAACAATTTATGCTAAAACGGTGGAATATCGGGCTGGATTTAGGGAGATCTATTTATTATTACTATACAGCATGGTCATGTATTTTCAAGCATCTGAAAGTGTCCCATTCAAGACAAATCTTACCTTTTCCAAAGCTGTACACCTATTTTTTTTTAAGAGATGACTTGTCAGTTTTCCAAATCAGTCAATCCTCTGCATTTACCCATCTCTCCTACATCTCTCAGAAAATTGGAAGCCGATAGACCCAGAAGACAAGAAGCGGTACGACAGGGAGTTCCTCCTGGGCTGCCAGTTTATCGGCGCCAGTATGCACAAACCTGAGGGCCTGCCTACCATCAGTGATGTGGTCCTGGAGAAGGTAGGTTGATGTTTTATGTAATTTTGCTGTGGAGTGAGCAATATAATTTATTCATACTTAAAAACTACCTTTGACCTCATCAGCACCACTGATGATTTGATTGTATCGTTGTCATTATGATGACTAATGGATTAGGAAATGTCACATTCCTCTTGCTCTGCCAGTGTTTGGTATTTTTGTATTGGAAGCTAAGTTCATTTATTCTAACTTCAGGTGAACAAGACTCCACTGCGGCCTGCTGACCCAGCTCGACTGATGAATGTCGGTCCCGATTTTACTCCCTCGTATTTGGGGAACCTTGGGAGCAGATCAGTTGGAGGACCACGAGGCCCGGTGAGTGACCTTGTTTTGTCCTTTTCTGGAATGGTCTTATCATAATCATGATTATGGCATCATAATGAATTTGTTTTGTTTAATAGGGTTTCTTTTCTAAATATGCATCCTTTCCCCTCCTTTTAGCCGCCTGGGCCACGTCGCTCCCAGCAGGGTCAGAGGAAAGAGCCCAGGAAAATCAACCTCAGCAGCCTGTCCCTCAGCGATGACGTGCAGCTGAACAAGGCTGAGAAGGCCTGGAAGCCCGCTGCGAAGAAGTCCACTCGCAACCGTGCTGGGGAGGAGGCCGAAGAGGAAGATACCGAACAGGCCAAAACTCAAGAGCTGTTCAAGCGTCTGCGCAGTATCCTCAACAAGCTGACCCCTCAGAAGTTTCAGGAGCTGATGAAACAGGTGACGGACCTGACGATAGACACAGAGGAGAGGCTGAAGGGAGCCATTGACCTCATCTTTGAGAAGGCCATCTCAGAGCCCAACTTCTCTGTGGCCTACGCCAACATGTGCCGCTGCCTTATGGGGGTAAGTCGTGATTGTGTCGAGATCCTGCACTTTTATCATTTGCTCCAATGATGACCTTTGTTTTGTGCCACGTGTCTGGGCCACTGAATGTTTATGATGGTATTGAGGAACTGATGGAGCACAGTTTAATCACTGTTCATTTACATTTTTTGTTTTCTGTTATAGTCTAGTTTTTGTTATTAATGAAATTAAGTGTATACTAAAAGTGTAATCTTCGATGTTTTCCTCCTCCAGTTAAAAGTCCCCACCTCAGACAAGCCAGGAGTTTTTGTGAACTTCCGCAAAGTGCTGCTCAACCGCTGCCAGAAAGAGTTTGAGAAGGACCAGGATGACGATGAAATCTTTGAGAAAAAGCAAAAAGAGTTGGATTCTGCCAAAGAGGTAAGAAATATGAACGCTTATTGTCACTGTCCCGGCCACTACAGTTTTAGTTGTTTTTATCTAGACTCAACAGATCATTGTACCTCACCACTAAGCAAAAACACTCACTTATGTCTGCTCTCAGGGAGAGGAACGTGATCGCTTGAGGGCGGACCTGACGGAGGCCAGAGACCAGGCCCGCCGTCGCTCACTGGGTAACATTAAGTTCATTGGCGAGCTCTTCAAGCTGAAGATGCTGACAGAGGCCATCATGCACGACTGCGTAGTGAAACTACTGAAGAATCATGATGAAGAGTCTCTGGAGTGTCTCTGCAGGCTGCTCTCCACAATTGGCAAAGACCTGGACTTTGAGAAGGCCAAGGTAAGTAACACATTAACACACACAGATGGTGATTGTTCATAAAACGTTAACACATTCAATTGTCTTTTTTTGTGCCACTTATTAGTGATTGGATTGAGGAGCTGAGGAGATGGCTCTTCACATATAAATCAGTCTCACTGAATCATTTACACTCAACATTTTGTAGCTTTGTCTCATAGCTGCTGCTTTTTTTTTTCTGTGTCCCTATTAGCCTCGTATGGATCAATATTTCAACCAGATGGACAAGATCATCAAAGAGAGGAAGACCTCATCCAGAATCCGCTTCATGCTGCAAGACGTCTTGGATCTCAGAAGAGTAAATATTAACATGGCCATTACAAGATATTACAATAAAGAGTCTATAACAATCATTTATGGTTGTGAATAATGCTGAGAAGTATTCCTGAATGAGCATAATTGTTTTATACTGTGTGCATGGGAGTCCTGTAGATGTAGATATTACGCGACAGGAGTTTAAGACTGTTTTATAACCATCTTCCATCTGCGGTCCACAGTGTAATTGGGTGCCTCGTAGAGGAGACCAGGGTCCTAAAACAATTGACCAGATCCACAAGGAGGCTGAGTTGGAGGAGCACAGGGAACAGATCAAAGTCCAGCAGCAGCTCCTGTCCAAGAAAGACGGAGGAGGTGGAGGAGGAGGAGGCGGTGGCGGCGGCAGGATGGGAGGAAACATGGGAGGCCGAGGCCCTCACACACCTGGAGGTGGCAGGACTAACCCCCCTCAGGATGAGGGCTGGAACACGGTGCCCATCTCCAAGAATAGACCCATCGACACCACCCGTCTTAGCAAGATCACAAAGGTAATGTTCGAGTCCAGTCAGTTTCCGTGTTTTTGAGCATCTTGTGTTTTCTCAGGTGCACAGTAAAAAAGCAGTCTCAGTATTCAAGAGCATTTAGAATGAAACTGTCTGAAGTTTCACTTGATGATTTGGTACCTGGGTAAATCTGAGGTGACTTGTTTAAAAATGTAACTTTTCTGTTTCCATTTAGCCTGGGGCTCTCGACTTCAACAACCAACTGTTGGCTCCAGGGGGAAAAGGCATGTGGGGTAGCTGGGGCAAAGGCAGCAGTGGAGGAACTGGAGCAAAACCAGCAAGTGGAGAGCAGGGTAAAATACTCTCTTCTGGAAGACAAGTATGGTTGTAAGTTATTTTTAGTGGTTGAAGTGTTAATCTATTCGTTTTCTTTTTAGATTCTGGTCGTCCAGCTACCAGCACCCTCAACCGCTTCTCAGCCCTGCAGCAGTCTGGCTCGTTGTTGTCTTCAACAGACTCTGATCGCAGAGTTCCTCAGAGGTATTCAGCAGCTGCACATATTTTCTTACAAAGTGAAATCTGTTGTCCTTGTTTTGCTCCCCTTCACTGCCAACATGAGTAAATGGCCTTTTTAAGTGGGTGTTTTTCTTTCCATGTTTAAACTCTAGGTGATTACTAATTATATTGTAGATGTTTGTATTTAAAAGTTTGGGCAGACTGTCCTTACCAATACAAAATTATGTTTTAAATTTAGTGTTTTAGGCATTCGACTCTTAAACCAGTTTAAGATCAGATTTGATGGCACAACATTGTGATAAACGTCCATCTTTGTCTCACTTACAACCTTTAGGTCAAGCTCCAGCCGTGAGCGTGGCGGCGACAGAGACAAGGGTGACCGCGACAGGGATCGGTTTGAACGATTCGATCGCAGTGAGGGACGGGAAGGTCGTGCCGATGGCGGCAGCCAGAACCAAATCACAAAGAGAAGCTTCAGCAGAGAGTCGCAGGACCGCGGCGGTAGGGGTGGAGACAGCCGGGCTGCGACTGAGCCTGTGCGCCGCGTCGCCAGCATGACCGACGATAGGGACAGAGGAAGTCGGGATAGAGGAAGCAGGGACAGAGGAAGTCGGGACAGAGGAAGCAGAGACCGAGGAAGCCGTGACAGGGGTCCAAGCAAAGATCTCACAGGTGAAAAAGGTGCAAAAGTAAATATTTAAATGGATATAATGGTGGAAAGATGTCTTGGAGGAAGATGATGGTGTGAGTTACACACAGACAGAGGATGCCAGATGTAAGAGGAAGGAGGTTTAACTTGTGTTTTTTTTCTCAGCAGTTAAACGTGAGAGTGCCCCCACTCCTCCTCCTTCTCTTCCAAAACCTGTCTTGACTGAAGAGGAGGTGGAGAAGAAGTCAAACGCCATCATCGAAGAATACCTCCACATCAATGACTTAAAGGTACGAACACGACACCGTGCACTCTCGCAACAAAGTGAATTTGATGTAAATGCATGCATTTTATCAGGGTCACCAGCAAATGCCTGGAATATGAAACCGCTCTGATAAGTCATCTTCTTCCTCTTGTGCTGTAGGAGGCGTTGCAGTGTGTGACAGAACTCAACAGTGCCTCACTGCTCTATGTGTTTGTGCGGAACGCCGTGGAGTCAACGCTTGAGCGCAGCACCATCGCTAGAGAGCGTGCAGGCCTGTTGCTGCACCAACTGGTAAAGGCAGGGACACTGCCCACACAGCAGTACTACAAAGGGTGAGCATTTAACAGGAAAAACCTACTGTGAATCACTGTGCTTCCAATGTCTGAAGAGTTTTTCACCTCGAGTGTATCCTTATTTACTCTTGACAGGCTGATCTGAGAACATTAAACTAACGAAGGTGTGTGAGATAAAATGCTGTGTGTGTTTTTTGGGATCACAGGCTAGAAGAGACCCTGGAGGCTGCGGAAGACACGGCCATAGATATACCTCACATCTGGCTCTACCTGGCTGAACTCATAACCCCCATGCTCCATGAGGGAGGCATCCCTATGGGACAACTCTTCAGGTGGGTTGCATCATGGAAGTCAGCAAAAATAATTAAAGCCTATTTCCTGTCAGATACTCTCTGTCCATAAATAGAATTTTAATATAGGTATAGCTTAGTATGGCAGGTCTTTGTCTGTCACACTCTGCCTGAATAGGATTTATGAACATATTTAATACACATTATGCACAATTAATGTATCCTGGCACATGGTTACAAAATCACACTCCTTTGCCCTCAATGGAGTAACTGAAAGATGCTTAAATGTCAACAATCAACTTACTTTTTTGCCTTGACTATAACTATTTGTATAAAAAAAAATTTAATAAATAAAGCATGTGAACAATCATTTAGTTAAAAGAAAGTGAAAAGTCTAATTTAGTGTAATTGTGTCTTCAGGGAGATCTCGAAGCCTCTTGTGCCTCTGGGGCAGGCTGGAGTGCTGCTGGTACAGATCCTCAAGTTGCTCTGCAAAGGAATGGTATGTCCTATATAAACCTGTTCACTTAAACAGCTCTCATTACATCCTGTAATACTTTGTGCAGTTTGATGTTTTAGACCTTCTGGACTGAATGTTGTTTTGTTTTCCCATCAGACCCCCAAGAAGGTCGGAGGCATGTGGACAGAGGCTGGGCTGAATTGGAGTGAGTTCTTGCCCGAGGATGAAGATGTCAACAAGTTTGTCACTGATCAGGTTTGTAGGCTACAGTAGTACTAGACAGTAAAACACCAAAGACAGAAAACAACGTCTCGATCTGTGTTGGCCGTGTGATGTGGAAGTTTTTCTTTCTTGATTCGGATAAAGTGATGTTTTATCCCTATTTGTCGAAATATCACATTGCAGACCTAATGCCAATACCCACCTACACTTTACACCAGTAACCCCGTGGCTGCAGAGAAGAAAGATCAAATGTATAAAATAGGCTCAGGTAGCTCACCAGCTTGAGCCCCATCTACTAAGGCTGAGTCTTTACCGCAGTGGGCTAGGTTCTAATCCAACCTGTGGCCCTTCGTTGCATTATTTTTGGTTTGCTTACTTACTTAGAAATGGAACAACACCTTTATAAGTGGATAACTTACAAGAGTATCTCCAATTGTCTTTGTTATGTCATTTAGAAAATGGAGTTCACAACAGGAGAGGAAACCGAGTCAAAGGAAGTCGATGAGAAGAAGGTCCTCACTGGAGAAGAGCTCAGTAAACAGCTGGACAGACTCCTGCAGGACAAGGCCAACAACCAGCGTATCAGAGACTGGGTTGAGGTGAGTGATCATATATTTTTTTTCTCCAGCAGGTTTTACGCCAGAGTTGAATATTCAGTGCAGGATTATTTATTCAATATCAAAGTTGTGTAAAGTAATTCTTGACTCCTCTCTGGTTCTTTTTTTCAGGCTAACATGGATGAGCAGCAAACTTCTTCCAACCAGTTTGTCCGAGCATTGATGACATCAGTGTGTCAGGCTGCCATCATATGTAAGTATGACTAATACCGCATGTACAAGAGAGGGTGGTCTGTTTTTGTCTAAAATCATTCAAACCACAATTTGATTGAAAGCCTTGGAAAGTTAATATTTTAATCTCAATCCATGTGTGTTCCCCCTCGTTTCAGGTGATAACCCGTACAGGGTGGATGCGCGTCAGATCGGCCTGAGGGCCAGTCTGCTGCAGAGATACCTGTGTGATGAGCAGAAAGAGCTGCAGGCCCTTTATGCCCTCCAGGCTCTGATGGTGCACATGGAGCAGCCAGCGAGTGAGTGCTTTACTTTTAAATCTACCTGCAGGGTGCCAGCAGTAAATGTACAGCAGTGACACAATAACAAATACCTTTCAGTACAGTAGCTCTGCAACGTATGCTAAAGTTGATGCCGTTCAGAATTGTCATGTTACTGATACAAATGGCCATTATTAAAGTTGCACCAGCACACAATTTAGGTGCACCCAAATTTTTCATTGCGTCGCCTTTAATCCCATAAGGTCACCTTTTTATCGCTCTCATAACTTTCATATTATGTGAATGATTTTTAAACAAGAATAAGGTGTAGAGAAATGCTTGTCTTTATTTGAAGCACAATTATCTATAGTGTTTAAAGTGCTTCACTGAACATTTCAAACTAAAACACTAAGCAAAATAAAACATTTCCAAATAAAAGAGGACCTGATTACTACTACCTGCCGCTGAAATGCAGCTGGGAGAGGGGCCACTTTCTCTACACACTTGTCACGGCATATCGTGTGTTTTTTAGACATTTTTTTTAAAGTTTCGATATGAAACATTGTTGACCCGCTCACGAATGCACTATTTCCGGCCATATTCTGACCGCACTCCTGACAGTACACGCAGTGCATTGCGTTACGTCCTTTGTTGTACCTCAGCCAGGGAAATTGTTTCAGCCAGTCCTGTCTGAAGGAATATATGTTGGCCTTTTTAATTTAAATTTTTAATTTGACTCATGGCTGAAATTAAGTTTCTCCAGCTCTCCCCAGGTTGGCAAAAAAATACATCTCAAAATTCATCAGATTGATGCTTTAAAATATGGAATATTCTAAATTTTCTTCCGGGGGGACCCCCGGACCTCCCAACAGGGGTGATATCCTTCTCACCTTTGTCACCCCTGACCCGTTTTCATGCCTGACATAGGAAACGTGTTTTCGTTACCTTTTAGTATGAGACGTATTTATCTATTGAACCGCCATGTTTTTACGAGTTTCACGGTCACTGTAGTTTCTTCTTATTTATTAATTTGGTTGCAATCTGCAACTTCACCCCTGAATGCCACTAAATCCCACACACTGGTCCTTTAAGTTTCTGGCGGTATTAAAATGTTGAAAACAAAAGTGTGAAACATTTTTAGAGGTCCAGTGTTAAGGATTTAATGGTATCTAGACCACACCAGGAAAAAGCTTAAATGTTACAATGCTTTATGGCAAACACAGGACTTGGGCATCATTATAAATGACTTAGCACTGACTGAATTACACTTAGTGGGGTTTGTTTAAAAACGGTACAAAAAACAACCTCAAATGATTATTTTAATTAAATGGTAATATTAACACCAGCATGCAGCACAAATGTAACAGTAGGAGCTTATATTTGCTGCAGGGCTGTCGTATTGAACCAGGTGTGTTCACTTTTTCTAATCCACTGAAACAAACTGGGCAACGTTTAACTGCAACAAAACCATCATCCCGTCTTTTCATTACCAATGCTCGATCAATATTGACCTCTATATTGTGTCTCTGCAGACCTGCTGAGGATGTTCTTCGACGCCTTGTACGATGAGGACGTCATTAAGGAGGAAGCCTTCTACAAATGGGAATCCAGCAAAGACCCCGCAGAGCAAACAGGCAAAGGTGTGGCGTTGAAATCAGTCACCGCTTTCTTCACCTGGCTCCGCGAGGCCGAGGAGGAGTCTGACAAGGAATAAAAGACTGGACTGAAAGCTGCCGTCCCCCTTTGGCAAGGCGGGGGCTCTGCAGGCGGCTGCGGCGAGTCATGGACAATATTGCCAGAGAGGCAGACTCAAATCAATCCTCAATGAGGATAAATGTTATGTTTTTCTTTTTTTGAGGGATGGACTCAGAAAACAATCATTTTCTCTCTACCTACCCTCTCTCTCGCTTCCTCATTATTTCCCCCTCCTGCTTGTGACAGCAAGTGTCCTCATCAAATAAACTTGAAAACTGATTCAGCAGGATTGCTTGTTAACGAGGTGTGAAGTATCCCACATCACTACGAAACTTTTGTCACAATAATACAAAACCAACGGGCTGCTTTTTTTTATGGTTCTAGATTATGATAATGCCTAATATCCGATCTGATCTGCAAGAATAAACAGCAAGGTGTGTGGTGTAGTGGGATCCCTGATGGTGTGTGTTCAATCCAAACTCAGCTCTTATGTCTTTGTCCCTTACTGGAGTGTGCAGCATGACTGAAGTGTGTTTCTATTAATGATACAGTGGACGATAACGTTCATAGACAAACGTACATGAACTAATATTAATTTGATGGATGGAGTTTTTAAAGCTAAGGTCGTCTATTTTCTCTTCCTGTTTCCCATCATGAACTTACAAAGGACAGAAACACGGAGGACAGATGTTGACCTTTGACCTTGACTACTAGGGGGTGGTCTTAATGCTTCCTCTAAGCCATCCTCTCCCATCCCCAGTAGTGAACCACACTGACGCTTCATCTTTACCTCTTCTATACTTAAACCTGAGCTGTCGTAGAGGACACTTATTGACCCAATCACCGTTAAAACTTGAAATCTACAGAAAATTGACTTGATGAAATATATAAAGTTAAAAAAAAAAGGAAAAAAACAACACAGAAATGATCCGAAAGCCTTTTCTACTTCAAGTGGAAACTTATTTCAGGAGCGTTCTGTAAATATATAATAATAATTACAAACAATTTTTTTTTTTTTTTTCCAGTTTTATTTTTCAGAAACAATAAATTGCTGATGTAATTGCAGTGTGTCCTTTTCCAACAGAAACCACAGTTGTCCAGATGCAGAGAGGTGCTTTAGATAATCCATTGATTATTAGTTGTATTGGAATTTTGTAAATATTTTTTTTTTTGCTTTCTTTATTTAAGAAATTATTGCTTCTTTTGCATCTGAAACTGGAAAGATGAGGTAACGGAACATTGCAAATAAAGGACTTATTAAGTTGCTGAGCAGAGTTTTGCGTAAGTCTGTCTAAAGGTCTCTGATGCACCGGTGATGTTTATGCATTTGGTTGTTGTGTGAGAGCTGGACGAGTATCTGCACTCGTGTCTGGCCTCATTAAAAGGGACTGGGAGTCAGCCATGGTGTCACTAATTCACATTAAATACAGTTTGTCAAGGTCATTGTAGAAGTTCAACGTTTGTGTTTCATTCAGTCACTCACAGCACGCCTCCACACAATGGTCTCATGTTAGCTTTACTTTAAAATAATTACAAAGAGTTACAGGCAATGAAGGGTTTAGAGTTTTAATTTGGGATAGAACAAGTTGGAGACCCCTAATTTTGTCTACTTGGTTGCCTTTAAAGCTGCAGTAGGTAACTTTTATAAAAATAACTTGTATAAACTTTCACTGTGTCCTGATGGTATTAATAATAAGGGTTCTCTGGCTCCTCCTAGTGGTCTGAATGGGATTTGCATTAATCCACCGGGCCTGAACAAAAACATCCAATCGAAGCAGAGAAAGATATAAATACACTTTACTGGAGGCTTGAAGATGGTTGATTTTGAGTCTTATTCCCAGAGTCCCACAGTGTCTGTATTTAAAGACGTAGGAATGAGTCTCACCCTCGGTTGGTTGTTTTCATTTAGGCCTGGAAGATTCATGTAAGGAGTTATTAGGAGCACTAGGAGGAGCCAGAGGAACCTGATTATTTCACAGATTATCTGTCTCGTGTTCTACTGTCAGGATATAGTGACAGTTTCAGTGAATGTAAAATTTTTTGTTTTTAATTAAAATTACCTACTGCTGCTTTAAGTGCTCATTAGCAGCAGACTATACATGGCAGCGTTATCTGTCGTGTGTAAATCAGTGTGTAAAATGTCCATCCAAAGAGCAATGATACTGATAATGACGTGAATCCTCACATTTAAGAGAAATTTTTAGCATTTTGTCTTCATATTAGTGTCCCAGATACAATCAGTACTCATAAACTGGAATCTGCCCTAATTTCTGCTGTGCATTAAATAAATTGGTGGCAAGTAACACAAATATGATCCATGTAAATTATTAGACAATATTAGGTAGCATTTATAAGCAGTATTTACACAATAAATAAATAAAATAAAATAACTAATGTAGTTTTAAGCAGATCTAAGATTTAGTGTTTATTAATGTACTACAACTCCCCCTGTGAGTTGTGCATAACTGGATGCTTGTGTAAAAAACAAAATATAGTAAAACAATTCATTTAATTTTATGTTATAATTAAGTTATAATTATTAAAAATACTGCTCATTAATAAACACTTAAAATGTCTTTATAACAGCTTACAAGTAGCTACATGTACATTATGAACTAATTATTAAATGTTTATAGTACTTGAACTAAATGTCTAAGTGTCAAAATATTTGTTCAATAAAGGTCAAATCGTCCTGATGGAAGTATTTTTAAATCACAGGATGATTTTTGGATCTTTGCAGATGTTGACATCAGACTGCAGTAAATCCAACCCGCGCGCGTCCTGTTGAATCTGTTTACCAAATATATTGCAAAACAAAAACAAAAACAACAAATGACAGTAAAAATCAGCTGCAGTGCATGAAAAAGGGCCAAAGCTGCAGCAGGTTACTGTGTCTTGATCTTGGCTGCATGAGAGAGGGGGGGGAGCGGGGAATTGGATGTGACACCGCCTTGCGTTGATGACGCTCGCCATCGGGAGACATTTGGACAGCCTGTAACCCATATACCGAGCAACAAATGGTGCGTCTGTGCTGGAGACCTAATGCTGGAGTTCGGGGGATGTTTCCGCCGACTGTGTGGCATTGATGATCTACTGCAGGAGCTGCAGCAGGAGGACAAACCGCGCGGTTTCATCTGTTGATCGGATTGGAGACAATTAAGCGCATTATCATGAGCCGCCGCGGTCCGACTTCCAGGTAGGTACCGAGCGAGAGTCTCTGAGAGGGAAACAACGAGCACAGGAGCGTCGTTAGAGCTGCGGAGGTGCATATATATACACACACACACACATATATATATATATATATATATATATATATATATATATATATATGGGGGGGGCCTGTTGGCGTGTCCGCGGTGTTTATCCGATGCAGGTATGGAGCTATTGGTATGCAGATGGCGACTTCAGAGGTTGCCAGGAGACCCGCTGCTGCATCCGCGCCTCTCCTGCGTTATTTCCCCCATAATTGCGGGCTGCAGGCCTGCACACATCAATGGCGGGGTGATGTGTTATTCAACCGTCAGTGTGTCGCTTCTGTTGCTTGAATGAAACCATCTCCAGCCCCCCCCAAAAAATAAATAAAACAGCACTGCAGCTCCCTCCATTCAAAGGCTGCAGGCAAGCTGCCTTAACTCGATCCCACTTGTTGGTCCTTTAAGTGTCACATCACTGTGGATGTCAGACCTCCGTCCTTGTTTAGTCATGAGAGACTTGAAGCAACTTCATTACAATTGGGGGCGCTGCTACACATGAGGTTGTTATTAGGATGGATGCCAATTAGCAGCATTTGTCAGCTGCAGAAGAGGCCTGGCAATCAGCATGTTGAAGTGTGAGCTTTTAAAAGCAACATCGCACAATTAACAGCTCCACAGAGGCCAAAGCACGTGCAGGTGCGCTGGCTTAAAAAAAGAAAAAAAGGCAAATATCAGAGGGGAAGAAATCAACTAATGGTTATTTTCATCTGTCATAAATCATTTAGTCTATAATGGTTAGAAAATAGTGAAAATACTCATCACGTTTTTGTTCAATCAACAACCAAAACCCCAAAGATCTTCAATTTTCAATGATAAACAAAAGAAAAACAGGCCATTTATGAAGCTGGAACCAGTAAATAAATGACTTGAATCATTAATCAGTTATTAAAATATTATATTCTCATCTGTTAACTCATTCATTGTCTAATCTTCTCAGCATTAAAACATGAACCTGCATCAGCAGATGAACAGAGATCACAAGTTTAAACCAAATGGCAGCAATATGTGACCTACACAGCAGTGGTTCCCAACCTGGGGGTCAGGACCCATCAACTGGGTCACAAGATTAATCTGAAGGGTCATGAGACAATTAATCGAACAGGAAGAAAATATATTGTTTTTGCTAAATATAATTAAATACGGCTTCTTCCCTCAGGCTGTGAGACAGACATGATGGCTTCATCATGCAAACTAGTATTTTCTATTTTAATTTTGATTATTTATTAATACATTTTTATTTTATTTATATATATATATTAAGTACCATTAAGGGAACTATAATATAAATGTCATTATACAACAGTGTATTCTAAATAACAATAAAATATCCTTGAATAATTATACCTTTTGTGTGACTTTAAAATATAATAAATAATAATATATTCAAATAATTCTCTTTTTTTGATCCAGATGAGACAGTTTTACAGATCAGTAAAGAACTCACTGACATCTGTAACCTGAGATGAAGGATGCTGCTTTGTTTTCAGCAGGTTGTGAAGGGAACCATCTGTATAACGTGTGTAGGTGGTGACAAATGCTGCTAATTGATCTAATATATAATTAACATTTCCTACAGCACTTTTTTACTTGTTATTTAAGTTCAGAGCACAAGCCGATTTCCATTAATTGAGACTCATTCTGTCGACAGGGTTTAAGCTGTCTCTGCTACTGAAACCTGCGTCTCAGAGGGGGAGCCGTGCAGCGCTCCTCATGCTGAACATGTGGTGTGTTTATCAGTGTTGAGCATGAGGGATGTCTGCAGTGCTCACAGGTGTGTGTGTGTGTGTGTGTGTGTGTGTGTGTGTGTGTGTGTGTGTGTGTGTGTGTGTGTTTTTGCAGCTGAAGCTCACCTCTGAGGAGTGCTGAACGTCACCCGAGCTGTGAGATCTGTTTGCACCTTCATAACGCCGCCTCACAGTTTCCCCCTACCTGCCTGCGCGACACACATTTCCTGTCGTTTTATGACTTTAACATAAGCCGTTAACCGCAGCCAGGAGCCTCTTCTTTTCTTAGCTGCTTTGGGAGCCAATCTGCTTACGGCTATCTGTCAAGTCATGCACGTGCTCAGAGAACATGTCTTCTGCTTGTTTGAAAGTCTCACCTGCCCTAAAAACAACACATATTCCAAACAGTTCCCATGTACTGCAGGAACAGGTTCAGCTGACCCACCAGATCTACCCAGAGTAGCCATATGTGTATTTTGTTTGTTGGATATTGAAGTAGTTAAGTATCACTGTCACTTTTCATAGGGATCAGCAGCTTTAGGGTGAGCAGGCCTGGCTGGAGCTGCTTATGCACGCCATATGTTTGGCCGGTTGCATGGAGACCATCGACCCTCAGCCATTCTAACCGGTTTTGCCGGCTTACCATGGCTTTGGCATCTGTGCAATAAATGTAGGGCATAGCAGTCTGCCCAGTGGTTTAAACTAGTCAGCCCAAGCTGTGACTTTTAGTTGTGTTGCTTTGCTGCGCCGTGACACCATCTCTGCATGTCCACGATGAGGCTGAATTCCAGGAGTAGAGAGAGAAGGGAGAGACAAAGAGAGGAAGAGGTAGGAAAAGTCTTTGTTTTTATATAGGGATGGAGCATTTATTTTGGCGTGGTGGCCACAGCCGTGTGTTTGTCACTATGTTTGTCCTGTGATTCCTGTTTGAATTTGAGCTTTTCATTTAGATGCTATTAGAATGTTTTTCGCAGACATTGGACAGCGTAAATATTAGCAAAGTAAACATTTACTGTTAGTGGGCTGGTGCCGGATGCGACACAAATGTGGACAGAAAAATACATTTTGCTCAAATCTAAAATCTGTCTTGCAGGTGAAATTTGAGGAGTGTGAAATGATTCCAAAGTCAGGAAAATCTCCAGCAGACTCAAGGAAAAGTGTCGGCATCCATGAGTTTGCAGCACTTGCCAGATCCTCCTTAAATGGTAATAACCTGTTTTTTTTTTTTCCTTTTTTGCTTTCACACTCTGATTTAAATTTTCTTGAGTCACAACTAAAGACTGTGACCTCTACCCCTGTCTCTCTATGTGTACAGGTATCTCTCAGGCAGTGAGGGACCATGTGACGAAGCCCACTTCCCTGGCTCAGGGCCGGGTCGCCCACCTCATTGAGTGGAAAGGTTGGCCCAAACCTGCAGACACACAGCCGGCCGCCCATTCCCACTTCAGCTCCTACTGCCATCTGACTGAAGGAGAGAAGGAGGCCCGGTTTGCTGCAGGTATGCATCTCTGTGACCTTTAGCCATCTGTTTTGTATCCAGCTTTTAATGTATAACTAGCTGGTGTTTGTTTGTGTGGGCATCCTCTTACTTAGCTTGGTTTAGTTCCAGCGTTATCTTCTGGCCGGCTCCCACCTTCTGTCACGCACCTAATCCCCTAAAACTCCTGTATGTCAGCGGTCTGCCCCGCCCACCGTCTCTTGGGTGATGGCTTGTCTTGGCAGCAGATGGTGGCCTATTAGACACTCTCCCAGAACACTTCACTGCCCACCAATGGTACAAGCTCCTGTTGTTTTGCTGTGACTCATCCTCTCTGGCGCCGGTGACATCGGCGTGGTTTGATCAAAAGAGAGAATGAGAGCGAGGGGGAGGGAGGAAGGGTACATAGTGAGTGTACATCATTATAAAGTCTACTGAGTCTCTTCAGGATTTTGCAGGCTTTTTTGGGGGGGATTGTTTTGCGGATCTAAAATGCCTGATTTCATGCCAGCTTTTCTAAAAAATTGCGATGCTTCTAGATATTTTTTGCAATGAAATTGTGAGAAAGTGTAAATTGCATAATAGTTGCACTATCTTTGGTATAATTCATTAAAAATCAAAGGGAGCTTGTTCTAGTGTGAATAAAATCACTAATAGTTTGGTGCATATGGCTCAGTGTTTTGCACGGGGGTGTCGTGGAAATTGGCACTGCTGTGATTGGTGAAACTCGCAGGAAACAATGATTGGTCACATTTGAGGAAAAAACTTGAAGCAAAATTGCAAAGTCGCACAAAGTGCACGGTTTTTGGTTGAATTTGTGTTAATTGTTGCAACTTCTTATTGAAAAATGTTTTGAGAACCTCTGATTTAATGGATCTGTGTTCCTCTTAGGAGTGGCTGAGCAGTTTGCCATTGCTGAGGCTAAGCTGCGTGCCTGGGCGTCTATGGACGAGGCCGAGGAGGAGGAAGACTCCAACGATGAGGACTCCCACCCCAACGGACAGACACACACCTTCTCCAGCCAGACCTCAGGTATCCACAGTCGCCTCCATTCTGTTCATTTCATCTCATTACACTTCGTCGTCTTAATTTCTGCATCATCACTGACATAACGCTCATCTTCCCATCCCCTTACCCAATTATCCCCCCGTCCCCAGGTGATCTGACTTTTTGCTCCTCCCTCAGACGCCGCCACATCCAATCCTATCACAGGAGCGCCATGCCAGTCTGAGGTTGATGGCGGGGAGGCACCGCCCTCCGACAGTCCCCTCGGCTCCAGCAGCAGCAGCAGCAGCAGCAGCCTGCACTGTGGTGGGCGTTCGTCTAACAATGACCCACATTCATCCCAGACCAATTCACCTACTTTACCCAGCGACTGCATGAGTCCCTTCCTGGAGGAGGAGGAGGAGGAGGAGGAGGAGGAGGAGGAGAGGTTGGATGGTCACAAAGAGCAGGCAGCTCCTGTGCAGGAGGAGCACAGTGAGGTCTGCATCCACCACAAGCCCGAGTGGAGGCCTCGGGCCAGGAGCAGCAGGTTCGACTCCTGCTACTCCACCTCTCACTCCGAGTCTCCCGGAGAGGAGGACGAGGAGGACGAGGAGGAGGAAGGCAGCGTGTTTCATGATGTCCGAGTGTGGCACTGCAGCCCGAGAAGCTTCTTCTCTGACCGCGCCTCCTCTGGAGTGGCGTCGTTCGATGAAGAGGAGGAGAGGGATGAAGTGGAGAAGATGGAGGAGAAAGAGTTTTGATGTGATGTGTTGTCCATCATTATGTCTCTTTGAGTCTGTGTTGATTCTGGATATGACTTCATCTTTTCTGCTTTCACTGTTAACACCTCTCCACCTCCTCCTCTTCTTCCTCCTCTTCTCCTTTCCTTCCTCTGATCATCTCCTCCCCACTCGCTGCCTTCTGTCTCTCATCCTCCAGGCCTTTCATGTACTGATCTGGCTCCACTGTTTATGGCTGCTGTAAACAGTATATACAGTATATATTGGAGAGTTGAACCAGAATGTAAAGCTGTTGTTCAAACTGAGTTTTGTACATTTGTGTGAAGAGTCATGTGTTGCTATTGCATTTGGTTTTCTATGGATATTTTGTAGTGTTGTTTTTTCTGGGTCATGCTGTGTCATGTGGGTCGGGCTATGTTTGATACTGAATGTCTGAATGTCCTACATATATAAATATAAGTTTTTTTGAAAGAAGATTGTCTTTCTTTACTTCTGCAAAAAACACAAACTTAACATATGGGAAAGAAACACAACTTCTAAACTTATCTTTTAAAGGTGTTTGTGTTTTTTTCAATTTAATCATTCACTCATGTACAAAAACAATTTCATGTTCTCTGAAAAATAACAATGGCTGTTGGATTTCAAATGCATAATTCTCCTATGTACAATAGCATATAAGTAGATCTCATCCGTGTATTTTCATATGTACAAAGCATATACAGGCCAGTGCCATATAAAGGGAGATACTACAGACTTATTGCTTAACTAGATACGCTGCAAATTAGCTTATACACTCTCTACATTTAATTCCTTATACGTTATCTTATATGGCGAGCACTACTTCACATTCTATATGCAAACAAAAAGTTAGGACGTTAATAAATCGTTGCACAAATGTTTACACAGACAAAAATGAGCCCAAGTCGGTGTGCTGTTAATGATATCACATAAGATTGAAATATGGCTCGGAAAATTGTAGCATGAAGCTAAATTACTTGACATCCATTTTATAGGTCGTTAACAAGGACTCACACACACACACACACACACACACACACACACACACTTTGCTCAACATTGCATTAGAGGCCAGGCTGGATTAAGATACGTGTAACATATCACGGTGTTAATATCTACAGGCCGCATACATGTGTGCGTATAAGAGTGTGTGTGTGTGTGTGTGTGTGTGTGTGTGTGTGTGTGTGTGTGTGTATGTGTGTGTGTTTGTTTGTGTGCTCTGTACAACAGCCAGTATCTTCCTTTTCACCCGGAGCTCAAGTGTTGTTCCTTTATCATGCTAGAAACACGTTAAACACAGTAAATTCACATAGCGGAAAATGTAGAGGCAGTTCAAGTGACAAGACTATATTGCCCTTATTGAATCAGCCCCTATAAAGCCAAACAAGGCTACATGTGCAGTAAATTATACTCATGGTACTTACAATGTGCTTCATCATTATTTGGAGCCCTGTACTAAGCCTGGTGGACCTTTGGAAGCTGCCTTTTTCGTCATGTGAACAGTAGATCCCAGCTGATTGGGGATGTTCGTGGGCTGATATGGACACCAATATTTTGTAGTAAAATAAAAAATATATGCGGATAATGACGTGTTGTGACACTGCAGAGTTGTAAACAACGAAGTCTGGACAAACTAGTGATGACAGTGTTGCTATTAAATCATCTTTTAGTGATTATTACTGTAAATTTATTGCATATCAGCCAACATATAACCAACACCACTATATCTTATTAATATTATTAGCCATTAATTCTGGCCCTCTGATGTATTAGTCCAGTGCTAGTGAATAGGTAGTTTTATTCATACCATCATGTGCTCATTAGAATAATTTACCATGTCTTTGTTCTTCTGTGCTTTCGTCTCTATTATTATTTGCTCCTTTTATTTTTCCCTGTGGTTTATTTCTCTCCTTGTAATGTTTGAAGTCATGTTAACAGGATGTTATTTTGGCATGAAGACTCAAATTATGTTGAAGAATCCGGACCAGATTTGAGCATGGCAAGGAAAGTGTCGAAAAGTGTCTCTCACACACACACACACACAAACATTCACACACATACACAAACACATCTAAAAGATGAAGCTGGAAATATTCTATGTTTTTCTTCCTTTCGTACCAAATCAAAACCTAGTGTTGTGTTTGTAGATAAAGCCTGCTATAGTTTATTCCCCTAAAGACACATATGAGCCACGTTGTTGCGCTGGTTGAGATATTCCTGAAGATGAAGCTGAAACTTGTCGCCAACAAATTCATTATTTTCTCCTGTTAGAAACTACAGTGTCAGCTGCTTTAGAAAATTATTTAACTTTTAATAATGAGCCATGCCGTTGCACTGGGTGACAAGTTCTTTCATCATGATGGATTTGCGCACAATATGAGCAATGTCCCACATAAATAGACTGTACAATATGAGCAATGTCCCACATAAATAGACTGAGTGCTTTAAATACTCACTAGAATAATAGATGAAAATAGTCTCCACCCAGATGGATTTATTCTGGTTTTGAGTAATATAACCTATAGCACCCAGCTGTTTTAGGAAATTATCTGGCCTTCAAAAAAAGAAAATATTATATTGACAAAATAATCTTGCCTGAAGGTCTATTTGTTTAGTTCTCATGAAATTGAGTTTGAAAGGTCATTCTTGACCTTGGACTCCCCAGTTTCATCTCAACCTTTAAGCCAACGTGGACAAGAACCCCTTAAAGTATTTTAACATCTGCAATTCCCAAACAACTGAGCAAACTCCATCTGTTAATAAACATCATGTGATATGATCGGAAACTCCAAAAACTGCTATTAAATGGACCTTGTGGTGAGATTGTTTTGCTAACTGCTGTTTCCAATTAACTTCCAAACTCAATTAAGATACAGTATATATTTGTTACTTGTTTTTAAAAGAGATTTATCATTGCACTCCTATAACAGTGTTGGCCTTTATATGATTTTATTTCACATAATGCAGTTGTACCACCCAACACCTGAAGTAAACAGACTTTGATGCGTAAAATTGGTGGAGTTTCCCTTTAAAGATTTACGTCTTCAACAGGAATGACAGAGCCACAGACATCCGAAACAGACAAACCCATTGTTGTTGTTTTGCGTCTTTTCATGGGATTTGTAGACAATAATAAAAACATAGAATAAAACCAGCTTTATCCATTACGACACATTTTATCTGAGCATTTCCACAGTAACACAGTAATAAATGTCACACCTACTCACGCTCACTCTCACTCGCTCACTCACGCCACAACAACATTAGAAACACGGGTATCTAGGCTGGACTTGGAGGTGACCTCTACAAATGTAAGAAACGTCAACATTCATGAGGCGACAGCATGAATCCCCTCGGATCATTTTGGTTGATCCTCAGTGTGAGCGGGGATACCCTCTCCCTCAGGTTCTGATAGGTCCTGGTTCAGAGATGGACTCCCCTGTTCTTCTTGCTCTGTTTCGTCCGGCTCAGGAGTTTGGGTGGGGGGGTCATAGTCACATGCCAGCTCTGATTCCTCAGTGTGGGAGGGGCTGCAGTCAAAAGTAAACTCAGATTGTTCCTCGGTGAACGAGGGGCTTTCCTGGAGCACCGACTCCGACGACTGGTTTGTGACATCGCCGGGGCTGGTTTCAAACTGCAAATTCGACTGGTCCGAGAAGTTGACAGGGATCTCTTTGTACGCGAGATCTGGCTGCTCCTCCACGTCAGGAGGGTTGGGTTCCCGTGGCAACGAGAGCCCCCTGTGGCGGATGCACAGCTTGTGTAGTTCGGTTACCTCGGATACGCTTGTGCTGTTTCCACAGTCGCGGAAACTGGCCAACGGAGGGCGCACTTTTACTCCTGTCACTGTCACTGAGCCCTCTATGGCCTTCCGCAGCTGGTACAGAGTCACAGCCAGCAGGGAAAAAAAGAGGTAAAGACAGAGAAAAGGGAAGCATTAATGATACAGAACAAAAAATAAAATCACATCAGAAGGAAGGAAGGAAGCTCACCTCTTTGAGAGAAACCACTCCAACCAGACGTCCCATGCTGGTCACATAGGCATGATCCAGACCCAGCAGGGAGAAGATAGTGTGAGTCTGCGGAGGAGGAGAGATGGGTCATGGCCTGGATACAGACTCAGAGAGGGGTTTAATTTGCATTTTGGATCAGGGTTATGGAAACTCTTACACCAGGATCAGACATGATATTTTTTGCCTTTTGATATGGTCACTGTGTCAAAGTGGGAAAACTACACTTCAGGCACCAACCATGCATGTAATCACAGGACGAAAGTGAAACTGAAACCATTTAAGGTCAGCCTGTGCTGAAGGCGGGTGTCACATTCTGTCTTCCCAGTTGGAAGAAAGAGGGTGAGGATGTAGGTGTGCTGCATACATACGGTGCAATGTTACTAAGTACATTTACTCAAGTAATTTAAATTAAAAGGTCCAGTGTGGGGATTTAGTGGCATCTAGTAGGGATGTGAATCCCCACCACTGTGGCCGATTCGATACACATCTCGATACGCTGCCAGCGATACGATACATTAACGATACAGTGGAGCCCCCTGCCGATATGATGCAATGCGATTCACCTCTGTTCACGATGCAATGCGATTCATTAATGATTTGACAACGATTTGACTTTATACAATGCGATACGATTCATGATGCGATTCAAACCGATTCAACACAATACAAAGAATTTACCAGCCCACATCTGGTTTCTAATGTATATGATATAATAATAATAAATAATAAATCCAACTTAAAAAGAAGATGCAATTCAATATGGTACAGACAGAGGATTGTTTTATTCCTAATAAACACTAAAGCATAAACAAAAAATATTTTTTTCATTACATGTGTTTTTAATCTCATTCTCTACTTATACAATACTAAATGTATTGTCTTCGGGCAAATATTTTTTGGCCTCTTAATAAAAAAAACAAACCAAAAAAAAACAGTCCTTTTCTCAGGTCCTTTTACTAATAGTTTTCTCTGTCTGTAATTTCACAATGTTTTACAAAACACTTCCCAACATCAACAATGTGCATTGTGCAAATAACTTCATCATAGTCCAATGCCCATACTACTGCCTGCCAGACTGATGTGCTTGAGCTGACACTCTTCTAGTTGGCTAACTGAGCAGTGAGAGCAGAAATCATTGAGATTTATACAACAATATAACAGTTAAACAAAAATAAACAATTGCAACTGCTTACCAATGTAAGTGTAAAAAATTAAACTATTGACTGACAGCCACAGCAACTGTAAACATCACTCACACTGAGGTATATCAACTAGAGGTCTTTCTTTTCAAAGTGCAAAGACCACACTACTCCTGCACTATTGTGTGTCTTCCAAGGTACGCTTAATATCTCCTCTTCACCTGTTGTGTCGCTTCCCTCCATTTTTTCTGTTTACTAACTAACTGCGTCTGCGGTGCCGCACAAAAAGATAGTGATGGTGCGTTCAAGGCGCCTCGAAAACATGGGTGCAGAGGAGATAAACTATGTAATAATCGATGTAACCATGGGTTTTACCGTTGCAGACACACAAAGAAAGATACATTGCGCATTTAGCCGGCAGTTGTATCCGCACTCGCATCCCAAACGTCTGTCTCAGACCACCGATTCAAATCGGTGAATCTCTCCATCCCTAGCATCTAGTGGTGTAGTTGCAGATTACAACTCTCTTGCTTCACCCTCCCCTTCCAAACATGAAGGAGAAACAATGGTGGCCACAAAACATAGGAAAAATTTAAAAACGTTTCCTATATTCAGGTGATTATCCACTAATGAAAACCTAGTTAGAAATATTATATTACATTTCTGTCAATTGATCCTCCTACATGTTTCACACTGGACCTTTAAGTACATTTCAGATTCACTCGGATATGCTGCTACTTTATACTTTACTTCACTAGATTTCAGAGGTAAATATGCAGTATTATTATTATTATTATTATTATTATTATTAGTCAGGGTGAGATAAGACTTTATTGATATACTGATTTTTATTGATACCTTATGCAGGGATGTTTGCTCCACCAGCTGGAAAGGGGCTGGATCAATCTTGCAGTTCTTGAAATCCACCGGCTCATCAAGCTGCTGCTCCTCCCACTCAGCTATCTGCAATGGGAATGATCAGAAGGCAATAAAACTTTTAAACTTTGAATTGTAAAATGATTTTTTGTATATTTTCTGTTAGTGTGGGTCTCACCTCTGATGGGGTCATGCAATCTTCCACTTCAGTAGAGTCCTAAAAGAAAAAAATGGAGTAAGACATACATTGTTCTTGTATACACAAACAAAGGTTTCTATACACAAAGTAAGAGTGTACACCAAACCTCCAATTTGTACACTAAATATAAATAGTGTACCAATGCATACCCATTACACAGAGGTCTGTAACCCAATGAATCACTTATATCTGGAGTTTCTGAGGTAAAGGTGAGCGTTTGGTTTCTTGCTCAACATTGCATCCAGTACCCAGAAACAACAACGTCAATAACACCATTAACTTTAAGAATAAAAGCACCTTAAAAATAAAACACAAAACAAATTTTCCAGAACACACAGTCACACACAGAACAAGCATTAACAGCAGTTTCGAGTGAAAGCTGAGGAAACATTTGGTTCAACACTGACGTTGAAAAGACAATTACCACTTTCTCTCACACACACTTTCTCTCGCTCTCTCTGCAAAGCCACTCTAATGCTTTGGTTGGTGCACCACAAATATTTTGGTCCAGCACTCACTACGCGTGTGTCGCAAGGCAACGGTTACTAAGCAACAGTCTCTAGGCGGCAGACAATCTTACCGCCATGGAGATCCTCACTCGTTTGGGCTTGGGCTTTCTTTTTTCAGGAGGAGCCGGCCCAGCCGGGCTCTTCCAGTCAGGGAGAGAAGGCATCAACACAGCACAACATTAACACAACATCAGCGAAACTGGACAGTTTTACTCCCTTACATGGTGTCACGGCAACATTGGATCCCGGTCTGACTTCTGCTGGGAGAAGTCTCCATGATGTGAGCACAATGTTGCTGAAAGGGTATAATTACTACACCACAGATGAAGGTGAGGGCACAAAATCAGCACGAGGAACCCAATGTTAAAACAACATTGGATTGTAGCTGCACTGCCAGAAAAAAGGTTTTTGAGCACGTTATATTTTATCATTTTTGATAAGCAATTTCACCCTTTAATGTTTTTTGTTTTTCTTTTAATGTCTCCGTAAATAGCTTCAAAGGTTGAAATCAATGCCTGAGTGAAAATTTTGTTGAAAAATGCTTGAGGATGATCTTTCGACTCTCCATCTAACGCCATTATTAGTTATTTGTTAATACTTTAGTTTATGAACAAATCCCTGTGGAAAATAATTCTGTTACCATCTGCCTCAGCTGTATTGTGTTTAGTGCTAATTAGCAATTGTCCTAAAACCCTAAATTAAGATGGTGAACATGGGAAACATTATACCTGTTAAACACAAGTGTGAGCCTATCATAACCCATTGGTTTGTGGAGTACTGCTTTGAAGCCTCGAGTTTGGCATTATGTCCGTCGCCATGCAGTTATTTCGGACCCAGCTGCAGTGACATACTGAGAGTGAAGTTGGTAATTTTCTGCACTTCAGTTTGGACTCAAATGGAAATATCCTTACATACATTTCCCCAAAACTGATCTTAACATATATTAATCGCCACTGTTCTGAGGATTTGAATAATGTTTAAGGGGTTAAAGATAGACAAAACATTTTTTATCCGTAATGCTTACCTTAAAAAACTTAACCAAAAATGCTAAAATGTAGGATGTTCAAAAAGCATTTGACTGGCAGTGAGTGCATTGTGTAGTGAGGGGGCAATGACTCACAGAAGTTTTAAAACAAAAATCCACGACCATAGCGTGAGATCACACAGGAAGACCCTGCTGCCTGTGGGTGGATCCTGCCTGTCAGCAGCAGGAGGAGGAGGAGGTTGACGGCATATGCGTGGACTCAGAGAGAGCACACACACCCACGCATACGATACGCGTCACATTCATACAGTACACTTGCACCCCCACACTTATTGTATCCTTCTCTGTTTCTCACCTCCAGCAGCTCCTTGTCTTGGTCAGCACAGGAGAGGGTCTGAGAGCCTTGGGGAGAGAAATAAAAAGTCAATTTCTATTAAATCTGGATTCTCTCTCTCTCTCTCTCTCTCTCTCTCTCTCTCTCTCTCTCTCTTTCTCTCTCCCTCTCTCTCTCTCTCTCTCTCTCTGTGTGTGCATGTGTGGGTGTTTTTTCATCAGTGTAAAGTACATACTATTTGGCGTCTCTGTGTCGCTGATGGCCGACACAGTTTTCAAGGCAGATTTCAGGGGAAGCTGGACATTGGTAACCACTGGACTGAAGGAGGAAGACTCCTCTGTGGAGATCTACATGGAGAATATATTAACAGAGGAGGCCAGACACAAGCGCACAAACACACACAGACAGAGACACAGACACACACACACACACACACACACACACACACACCAGAACACACAGAAAAGACAAATACGATGACATGCACATAAACAAACAGGACAGCACAGGTAAGGGCACAGACGACAGAGAGACAGAAGACATGTGTTAATGTAAATATAGAAATAAAGGACACATACAGTTTGTAAACACTTACCACAACAGCTGTCCAAAAACTTCATCTGTGCCTTTACCTACTGCTACATGCTTCACATGCTGTGCCTGATCCACTTTTTAGTCTACCGCTACAACCCCAACCCAAGCCAGACTTCGCCCCATCCCTGGCGCCCCCGGACGCCTCACACCTGTTGGGTGCTCACCAGGAAGCGGACCGCTTGCCGAGCGTTGGTGTTGGTCGAGGTGTTGGAGTGGGTGTGGGTGCAGGGGGAGCTGGGTGTGCTGTCGGTAGTCAGGCTGGGCAGATGATCCTGGGTGCCGTTGTCCTGGGCCAGCTGGCGGAGGTATTCCAGCCTCCGCTGGCGGCCCAGCTGAAGAGAGAGCAGAGACTGAAGCTGCAGCCGCTCAATGGATCCCAGCAGGATCATGGACTCTGAAGGAGAAGGAAGGCAGGAAAATGTATTAGGTACGTCTCGCTACAACTAACAATACAGCAATAAATCCTCCCTTCATGAAGGTTATAAAGGTCAGTTTTTGTTGTGTTAGAAAGGTGTTGATTCAACTGCATGATCATTTTGGAGGATGTAGTTTGTGGTGCTGTTGTTTTATTGCATTATAGCAGAATGTGTTTATAATATTTAATCCACATTGACTGATATAAGTGGGGTGGGGATAATAGGATCAACCTTCATGAAGTAGGATTTATTGCACGATGCTTTTATTATTATGCAGTCATTTTAGCTACTGTAGGTGTACCCAATAACCTGGCAACTGAGCGCACTGTAGGTTTAAAATTTTGGTCATAATATTTAAAAAATAATGCTATCAAATGGGTGAACTCATTTCAGCTGATTGCAATGCAATGAAACATTTGAACCCTCAGTTTCTGTCCTGAAATGCCGTTATTATATTGGCACTAGCATTCAAATATTTCAATCAAACAATCCCCTTGTCCAGAAATTTTAAAGGATTGCTGAACGAGTATCAAGTTGAACCCCAAGATGGATTTTTTCTGTATGCTTTTTAAGCTGTGTACTTACCTCTGGATTCCACCAGGGCCAGTGTTTTGAGCTGACCAGTCAGCAGCATCTCCTGCAGGTCCCGATAGGAAGAGTTAAGGGTGATGAAGCGCACATCCCTGACCATGATGTCCTCCACACGGATATTATATTTCCTGAAACATGGAGGAGGGAAGAAGAAGATAGAAGTTAATTATTGAGAAGGGGAAGCAGGGACTGTGGAAACAAAAGAGGGGAAAAAGGAGATGAAGAAGAGGCAAAACTGAAAACACATGAAGGCACAGAATCCCCCCAAAAAATAAAGAAACAAGTCAACAACTCCATCCTGAGCACACAAAGACTCACTCGTGATGGCCCATGCCCAGTTCAGGCAGATAAGGAAGTTTCTTGATGCGGATGATGGAGTCGTACAGCGAGGGTTGCAGCGACTGGGCCACGGCGTTGGCCAGGATCACAGCGATCATCACAGGCAGGATGTGGGAGATCTGACCAGTCAGCTCAAACACTATGACCGCTGTGGATACAGTGTGGGTGACTGCTCCAGACAACGCGGCAGCACCTGCGTAGGAGTAAGTGAATTTAAGAAAAATCTTTTTTTCTGTCTAGTCTCTTTAAAGCCATTCACTTGCAGCTAATAGAGGGAGATTTAGCGTGATTGATCAGGCATGTTTTAAACAGGAATTAAAAATTAGACGGCTCAATGGGCGATGTTAAATTAGAAATCTGTGTTTGTGCTATTAATCAGAGGAGAATTTAGTAGAAGATGGCAAATCCAAACAAGATTTTCTGCAGGATGTCATTCTAATTCATAACATTTAACGCCATCCTGTCACACTAACCACTGAGTCACGCCAGTGGCAATTTTGTATTCAACAGTTTTCTTTTTTACTTTTCAATTTTCATTAGTCACGTTCTATGAGCTGGTATGAGGTGATAAAAATGGCTGCAGCTTTGCACTGGTGTCAATTTCAGTCACACAGGGGAGAGGAAAAGTGACCTGAAAATTTGTTATCAAGGCAAATTAGATACGAAATGGTGAATTTAAGTACAGTGTAAATAAAAAAAAACTGATTTACAGCAACTCACCAACTACAGCATAACCGCCAGGAACTATGGGATACACGCTGCCGTCAGCATGTATGCCATCAGGAAACATGGTCGCCATGATTTCTCCAACAAGTCGGCCAAATGCAGCGCCTGTCCGTCACACACAGATACAATGAAATGAAGTTATTTTAAGGGGTTCTTACCACTGCAGGAGAAACATTAGAAAACACAGTAGACTTTATTCACCGATAAGAAAAACTGGCATGAAGGCGCCGCATGGAACAGGCATGGTGGTGGCCACAGCGGACATCCAGAACTGAGACAGAGAGACAAGTGTTGTGTGACACATCATAAAAAAAACAAAATCAAACCCTTCACATTCTCTATATGTCTAAAGCCTACCTTCATGATGATGAAGAGGATGAGTGTGATAAAGACGTTGACCTGGGGGTGTTTCCAGGCATGGTGGTGGCTGATGTAGTCAAACTCCTCCGCCACACCCTGACGGCACCACGTGCGGTTGTCGAACAGCGCTACCAGAGACTCGTGCTGTGTCAGCTGACAGGTCGACACAAGAGAAAAAGTGATCTGACTGTTGCCTATTAGCCACCATACCTGACAGACTACGTGTCCCAGGCTTTCTTGCTGTTGAATCATATTAGCTGGCTTGCTATGTCTTGTGTTGTTGCACTTGCTTAATGTTTGGCTGTGTTAGTAAAGTTGTTGACTTGCTTCTTTGATCATAAGTAATATAATTATAACAAATGAAAGTGTACAAATTGTCATATTTACGATAGTGGTATTGCAACTGGGGGCGCAAAATCACAGCAAATACTAAATCTTACATAGTGTTACTTTAATCCTTTTTGTAATATGTGCACTGCAAAGATTCCAACTGGTCATTTTGGGTTTATTATTTATTTTCTAAAGCAAGTGGGTGAAAAAATAATAATAATCGGGGTGAGATCATTTCACCTGCTTCACAACCCACTTTTCTAGAAACCAGTCTTACTTTCTTGATACCATTGCAGCAACCTGTCTTATTCTGTTTGTGTATATTGTATATCCCCACAAATGAGCATCACTGTCTGAAAACAAGGACAGCATAGGGGGGAAAAAGTTATTCTCTCAGCCCAACCCACACCTAAACGGCTTGTTATGCAGGACGGTTTTGCAGTGCGGTAGGCAGCACTAGCACAAAAATTGTGTGCTCTGCATCTCTGCCTAAAACACCTCAAAGTACATTTCACTTTGGTGTCAGTTTTTAAATGTTTCCACTTGCAGCACAAAGTGTCTACATCCATTTAATCTGAACCAGAGTCTGCGGGTTTTATTGTTGTAGAGATACTGCAATGTTGCATCTAGAAAGTTTTGTTTTTAGCAACTCATCAATGGGGTAGAAAAGCCTAAATATAAAATGTTACCAACACTCTGGCAATTACTACCAGTTTTCTGATGGGTGCATTTGTTTTAAAAAAATGTTTGTTTGTTTAAATGGTTTTAATTTTAATCCCCAAGATCTACACACAGGCTCTTTGCCACGTTTCCTGATATAGATCACTGTAAAGACAATGTTCTCTGCAGCCGAACAACTTCAACTCAAATAAGAGGAGCAGAAAAAGACCCGCAACCTGACACCAACTCTCACTTCATTTAAAATCACCATCAATCATCTACCAACAGTCCAGGCATGCTTTCATACTGTCAGAAGAGCGTAAAAGTATTTTCTCACCTGTCCAGCCATGAACTGCCCGAAGCCCGGAGGGAACGTGAGTGTGGAGATCAGCAGGGTGACGAGAGCGGGAAACACCAGGCGCCTGACAGGAAAAGATGGACTGCGGGGTCATTAATGGGTGTGCCTGTCACACTGTATGTACACACTTGATTTCTGGGTGGTGAGGATGGAGGAACCATAAATAGCTTGCTGTGATGTGTGAAACTGACCCAATTCATACAAGGACTTTACCTAGATTTCCCAATACTACATTAACATTTTGACATAAGACACAAGCTAATGTTAAATACAAGTTTAAGGGCACATGTAGATTCATCCTGAATGTTTGAGTTTTTTAATAAATAATTCAACACTTAAGGAAATTTAGAAGCAAGTGAGAAAAATAATTCTGGTGATCCATGAAGTTTAATCTGAATGGTTTTATCTCTTGTGTTTACAACTGAAAGGTCTGGTGTGTAACATTTAGGAGGGTCTATTGGCAGAAATGGAAAATAATATTCATAGATATGTTATCATTCGTATATAATATACCTTAGAATGAGCTATTTTTATCTACAGAGAGAGCAGGTCCTCTTCTATGGTGGCCGCCATGTTTGTATTATTAAATTATCCTTCCAGGAAAAACCTGCCAAAATTTTTTTCCCACCTTATTTCACAGATTTAAAAAAATATATATTTGAAAGATTATGCTGTTCTTAAGTCATAAATACAGGACATACAACTATGTAGATTAAATTACGAAAACAATTTTTCTCACTTGCCTCTCATGGCTTCCATAAATATAGTGATTTGCTGTCTTGCCGAGAGTTAAGATTAAGATAAGATTAAAATGAATCTCGTATTTGTCCCAGATATTGGTCCATATTGAGCAGCCAGTTAGCTTAGCTCAAACACTGACCTGATTCTGTCCAAAGGTGACAAAAGCCACTTACCAGAACCTGTAAAGCTCACTAATTATCACATTATATCTTATCTAGTTTATTGGTACAAAAAACTGGACGAGTTGTGGCTTTATGGAAGTTATGTGAGGAGATTTCTTGACTCGCAGTCATAATCACCATAAAAAACATAGTTTCTTGTTTTTACACTTTATTTTTGTACAGATTTAACACCCATAATATAAAGTGTTAATTATTAAGCTTTAAAAGGTGCTGGTAGGAAGACTTTGTTACCACCGGACGGAGTCAGGCTAGCGGTTTCCCTCTGTTTCCAGTCTTTATGCTAAGCTAAGCTAACCATACAATCTGGTATCTATGCTCTCATCTATGTCTTGGCTTAAAAGCAACGCGTGCATTGCCCAAAATGTTGATCCACTAAAGTGTCAAAGTTCTGTGTAACGTCAGGCGCCAGATACTCACTTCCTCAGGAGAAACTTGTTGATAGTCTTCTGTTTCCTCATGCACTCCACAATCAGCCGGTTCAGGTAGACAAACAGAGCGCCACCAAAACCACAGGCAATCCTACAAACAGAAAAGACCACACTGTGTAGAAACAGTAGAGCATCCTGGGACACAACAAAGCCAGCAACACTGAAAAGGAATCACGCTGCCTCTGAAATACATCTACACTTTCTCTGCCATTAAGTTAGTTACTGAGGCTCTGTGACAGGAAGCCAACCCTTGTTAATTTATTGTTTTTGTTTATTCTCTACAGCTTTTACTCATAATCAGCCAAGTAAAAAGTTAATTTCATGCCGCGTTCATCGAATACAAATCAACCTTCAGACTCTCAACAGGAATGTGAATGTGACTAGAAGGAGACTGGAGAGAGAGAGAGAGAGAGAGAGAGAGAGAGAGAGAGAGAGAGAGAGAGAGAGAGAGAGAGAGAGCTCTGATCTCTTCAGTAACTCAGGCGCCAAACTACTCTGGGATCAGTTTAATGTGGCGTCAGTCCAGAGAAACCCACTCACCCGAGGATGGCGAATGCTGGCAGCTCCTGAAGGTCAAACGGGAAGTCCAGACGGAAACGGGTCTTAAAGAGAGCAGTGATGGTCTCTGAGGAAAAAAGAAAATTGTTCTCACTCTGTGCAGATGGTGCAGCAATACATCAGTTACAGAAATGTACATATAATACACTTTCGAAAGGGACTCGACACTAAACACAACATAAATGTTTATATTGATATACTGTTGTGAAATATCTGCTAATAAACACAAAGTAAAGTATCTAGCGGGAGCAAATGCCAGTATCTAAAGGAATCTAGGGATCTAGAGGTATCTAAAAACAGGTGTTCTTTGGATCCAAGGACATAGCATGAGAATAAAAAAGAGAAGAGGTCAGACTTGCATGTTGCTTTGTGATCAATAAGTCATAACCCCCCCCAAAAAAATACCAAGGCACATTGCTTTGCAAAGATTATAAAGCCTTTAATAAATAACACCTACTCGTTTTGACTCACAGTCTTCTTCAGGGCATGAAAAAACCAAATGGCAGCTCACATATATATATATAGCAGGGCTGCTTCCAGCTGTCAGGCAATCAGTGCCCTGCTGCTTTTTGGGTATGACTATTGATCTCAAAGCAAAATACAAGTCTGACCGCTTGTCTTCTTTTGGTCATAAAGTCACATATTTTGTGGAATTAAAACTTTTTTTTTTCTTCTAGCTATTAGCTTGTATGCCACAGTGTTTCATCTGCTGGTCTGTGTTTGGCAAAGGCTTTTCTATACTGATGCAAACCTCCCCATTTATCTGGGCTCGTGGCTGGAGAGCAGACTGGGGTTCAGTGTCTTGCCCAAGGACACTTTGACATATGTACAGGAGGTAAGGCTCGAACGGCATGTAATTTTATGAGAGATTTTAATTATCATCAGTCCAGACAACAGAGAAGAAACATTAAAGCACGGGTAAAGTCACAAACAAACACAGAAAACTGTTATTAAAAAAGGTGGAATAAGGACTTTTACCTTCCTCCTTGTTCCACACTGCCAGCACTCTGAATATGAAGGCACTGAAGGTGGCGGCAAAGAAGCCCCTCCAGTAGTTTCTCACCGCAAAAAACGTTGAAGTGACCTCAATACTGAACAGCACCCCTGCAACACACAACCAAACACACTCATAAGACAGTCCCACTCACACACTTTATTTAAGAAAGGTTTTAAATAGCCATTTCTCGATCTAATCTTCGTCAAATAGAATAGAGCGTATCTTTACAGTACACCCGTCTGCTTCATTTGGCAACATCAACACATAATTCTCAAGTCTTCCACATTTACAAGCACGTCTCTGCCATCATCTTTAACATGTATCACACCTTACAATGAGTTAACGAAACACTGTCTAACACCTCACATGCTTCCTGTGATTGATTCTACTCTGCACACCAGAATAGAAACACACATTACAGTCTGAAATCCTGCTTAATGTTGTTGGAATGAAAAACAACACACTGGTATTTTCATTACTCTTTGGCCAATGTGTCATTTAAATTAAAACTGTAACTGTTGTGTTAAGAAAAGAGCCTCAAGAAAGCTTCACATCATACTTTAATACAATTCAAAGTTGTGCATAGAGTGCACTTCTCTCCCACTAAAATACAAAAAATATTAAAAATACTTTCTTCCAATGTCATATGTAACTTTTTGGGATCATTTATTTGAGTTTTCAGTTTTAAATATGGATTTTCCCCTTTACCTTCACTGTGCTATTTGGGGTAGTTGAGCCAGGTAGAGGGAATGATAGGTATGAAGGAAATGTATTATATCTAAAGAAAATGAGTTCACTGAAAACAGCTGCCTATTGCAACGGGAGACGACACTATGAGAGCTGTGAGAATCAAAACAGTAAAGTGCAAAGGTCTAATACTTGTGCCAAATTTTATGTTAATCTGACAAATAGTTGCTGAGATACAGAATGTTGTTCTGAATCACAGTTAGATGGAAGGACTGACCAAGATTGGCACTGCTAGCGGGGTAAATTTTCTCCTCATCTAATTATCTCCTGTAATTATCTAACCATAATTAGATAGCATTCAATCAGAGGCTGCAGCCATGTTGTCTTACCTCCAATAGGGGCGGCGAAGCAGCAGCCCACACCCACTGCACAGGCGGCCGACAGCATCTCTGTGTTCCTCAGCTCGTTCTGTCCGACAAGAATCAGATATACACACAAATAGACATACACACACGTACACAGAGCCACGCATTCAAGCAAACACACACACATATGCTCAAATCCCAACAGGTACACAGTACATGTGCGTGCAAATGCCACAGACACACAATACACAACAAATGCATTTCTCATGAAAAACAACCCACCAAAAAGTCACCAACTGTTTACAAATGCAACAGTTTTGCTGTAAAGCTGCAGCTGTTTCTTTACCCATTCGATGAGATTACACATATGAGCGGTGGGATATGGGAAGCCATAATTGAAAACCCAGAATTGAGTGTTGAATTCGTAGGGATGAGATGTTTGTACAGAAGCAATGGCAGCACAGATCGATGCCCCGCTGTGACGGTTCACTGAACAGAATCCAACAGCGCGGACAAATGGAAAGGCATCAATCTATCTCAGTTTCTGAAATGGACAGCATGGATTATTAATGTTGATGGAACTGGCAATAAAGAAACTATCTGACTCGTGCATTCATACCTTGCTTCCCTCAAAGGGCTCGTCCTTTAGCAGTGACGGTGAAGGAAAAAAAGACAGAAATATGTGTGAGTGCAATCTATGTAGAGTGTGGAGGTTACCTTTTATTTCCGCTCCTGGAAGACATCCAACTTATTATCCAAACCACACAAAATCAAACAAGCTGAGAATGAGCTTCAGCAAACACAGTCTTGATTCCACAGTGAAGTGAATTAACATGTTCCCAGACTGATTATGTTTAACGGCTGCAAAGTTGACCCCTGGACTACTTTCAGTCTTTCTAACTGTGCTGACAGCAGTTTTTCTTCCTCCACGTCACTGCAGTCTATCTTCCTCCGTACTGATGCCGATGCGGGTGCTGTCGGTACGTGGAGGAGAAGCACAGCGCACATGTCCAGAGCAGAAATGGACAGAAGCCCAGGGTGTGGTCTCACATGAGTGGAGGTCAGAGTGTGTCCTGGGGAATGGCAGAAAGTCAAGGAAACATCAAAGGCTTTTTAAAGAACAACTGTGATTCTGTGTTGTTCTTGCAGCTTCACAAACCTACAAGGACGGGGTTTGAATTTTGATGTAACTCACCCGTTTTAATTATATTAAGGCTTAAAGTTATTCATAATTAACGGCATGGCTGCTTTGAGTGAAAGGTCCACAGACTCTCCACGTATTTGCCCAGTTTTGGATTTGCCAGGAGCTAGTGGAGTCAGGACTGCCAGCATGGCGACGACCAGTCCTCACTGAGCTCTCCAGAATCCTCTGGATGAGGCAGACAATGAGGAGAAGTGTGTGACTGACCAGAGATGTATCGAAGTGTAACCTTAAGTGGATTCATTGTTTAAAGCACAGGCATGAAAGTGATATCAATCCTCTCGTCTCACTCATAAAGCAAAATGTCCTAAAATGGTAGAACTATTCCTTTACAGCTGCTATCTGTAATGTGATGTTAGATTTGAGAATTTGTTGTTGTTGTTGTTGTTGTTGTTGTTGTTGTTGTTGTTGTTGTTGTTGGCTTGTAGTGTCACTCAGTTTGAACTGTTAAGTTAGAAGACATTTTTGCATTTTCACATCAACAAGGACCGATATGAACCAATAAACATGATTATGAGTATAGAGAGCACCACCAACTGTTAACACACATTTCGCCAGATTTTACCATAGATAATAATAATACTACTACTAAGAATAATAATAATAACAATAATAATAATAATAATAATAGCAACAACAATAATAATAATAATAATAATAATAATAATAATAATATGTTACAATTGGGATGTATATATAAAAGGCCAAAGGTAAATTTTAAGATTAAAGATTGTTATATTAAGAAACAATAATGTTTTAATCTCTACATTTATTTCTGGGTGAATATTCCTGTTAGACACATCATCTTTAAAGAGCTTCACATGTTCAAACACCCAAAACAAGTCTGTATTTGTGCGTCAGTGTGTGTGTGTGTGTGTGTGTGTGTGTGTGTGTGTGTGTGTGTGTGTGTGTGTGTGTGTGTGTATGTGTGTGTGTGTGTGTGTGGGTGTGGAAACTGAATTCCTTTTTTATTGTAGTTACCATTTTAACCATGAAAATCCCACCAAACAGAGCAGCCATGAATTTGCTCAAGAGAGCGGCGCACAGACTGGCAACATGAACGAAGGGTCCCTGAGAGAGAGGATGAGGAGAGAGAGAGAGATCAGGATGTTAGTAGACTGAAAGCACATTGTATCACTGCGTGGAGCACGATGCACTCAAGTTCAGGGGCATTACTCAAAGACCTTGTGTGATTAAACCCTGCTCAGATTCAAACAACTTTATAACCCCCCAAATGGGAAATGCAAGTATTATTAGCAGTAAATCACTTATTTATTTTCCCAGCCATGACTTTAATGAGACTTGAAGAAGCAAGATTATACCCTCCCAACAGGAAACAGTCAAGCAATCCGTCATGTGTAATTTGTAACAACCAAGAAGACTGTGATGGGAGGAGATGAAGGAAAAATACAACCCTCTACCTCCTTCCCCAGAGGCATCCCACTGCCCAAAGCACAGGTCAGACCAATGACTTTGGCCACAAACGTCTTAAAGGTCAGGTACTCCTTCAGGACCACGCCCCGCAGGATCGTCTTCATCTCCGGAATACCTGAACCTGAGAAATGAAAAGAAAGAGGTGCCAGGTGGAATGATGGAGTGGAGAGAAAAGAAGAGTTGAAAGAAAGCAATTACAGTGAGAGAGGGGTGAAGAGTATGAATGAAGAGCAAGGGGGATGGGTGAGGGGGAAGGCTGATTGATATTCATGTAGTTTACTGTATGCGCATCGCATCAGAGATATATTTTATGGATTTCCTGCAGACGTGACCACTAAGAGACGTACAGAACATGTCCTTGGAGGCCTTATGGTGCATTATGGAGCCAATTACATTATTCAAATAGGGAAATGTGACCATGAATTAGAGATTGGAATACATATGTTTGTGCATAAATTGTTTAAATTTGTGTGTGTGTGTGTGTGTGTGTGTGTGTGTGTGTGTGTGTGTGTGTGTGTGTGTCTTACCCACAGCCTGAGGCGACAGTATCTGTGTGAATCCTGCTGAGAAAGTGATGAGCACTACAGGGTAGGTGACCCAGGCGATGTACTGCAGAAGGAGGTTACTGTCCAGTCCAGCATACATCCACTTCTGTGCTGCACACACACACACACGCACGCACGCACGCACACACACACACACACACACACACACACACACACACACACACACAAACAAGTAACAAAGTATAATGTGGTAGAAATCTAAACAATTTAACAACCAGTTTTACCATCTATCAAGATTTATCGGTTGTGAACATCTTCATTACCTTACTTTGAGCTTCCCTCCATGTTTTGTTCCACCTCTTCCTTATTTGTGCATTTTTATTCATCTTTTAGCAGCTCAGTTGCCTCCTCCTCCCCATTCATCATTTAGTTCTCTCTATCATCAAATTTACAGTTTTATAAAATACAGCAGAGGATCTATCTCTCTTTCAGTGGAGGAAGAAGTACTCTCTTACCAATACAACAATGTAAAACAACAAGTAAAAGTCCTGTATTCAAAACTCTACTTATCTACCTACTATTAAAATAAAACAATATACAAAAGTTAAAGCATTCTACTAAAAATTGCCCCATTGCATATATTGTTATGTTAAATTGTTAATGCTATTGAAACACTGTAAATAGCATTTTACTATTGTATCTGGTCAACGTGGAGTTTTAACTATTCTATGTACAGTTAGGTAGTTCCAACAGCAACCAAAAGGACGGGCCCCTCCAAAGGTTAACAAGATAAATATGAGGGTTTGACAGATGATTAATGGGGTAGGAAAGAGGGAAAAAACATGTTATGCACCACAAATTTGTACTAATTTGGGGGTAAATTGTCTCTAATCTTTGCTTTCAGGTCAAATATTGGATGGTTTTACATCTTTGGCCTTCAAACTGTTATTTAAATGAAACCATTTGTAACAATGCACTGTTCGATGTGTCTTTTATGTAAAAACTAGTAACTTTAGCTGTCAAATAATTAGTATATGAACAGTTATCTGTGTAAGAAGATATGATCTTACTGAAGGTTAATCATTTCAGAGGATTCTATTATTCAAAATGTTCTTTATGGTTCAGTATCAGTATTGAAAACCAGCACCTGGGGAATTAATTCAAGTCTCTGTGTTAAGACTGGTGCATTTGATGCTTTGTGGGAGAAGAAATGTATGTATTGATCTTTTAAATATTAATGAAAGCCACTTTGTTAGCTTCTGTTCAATATCAATTCGACTCTGTGGCAGAATGATGGTCAATTTGTATTAATATTTTACTATCTACTTCCATACCTGTCAATATATTATAAAGCACGACTCCTTGTTGATTAACACTTTTACAACTTTGCTGCCTCTGTGAGAACAGTCCATTATTCACGGTCTGTCTATCCATCTGTCTTTGTGACTCTTTTGTCTCTCTTCCTGGCTCTCTGGCTCTTTCCTACCTTCTTGGCAGAAGGCGATGGCGTAGTCCATGACCCAGCTGACCAGAGCCATGAGTAGACCCAGCAGAATGAGGAAGATCCAGTCCTCCCCTACCCGCGAGATCAGGAACTTCTGGCAGCGAGACGCACACACTGAAGGCACAGAGACAGAAAGAGACTGAAAGTAAAATCTCTGAAATGAATCTTCGCATTGTGTGAAGAGTGATATTTGCTAGTGTGATACTGAAATGAAGCAGAGAGGAAGGAAAAGTGAATATGTACGAAGGATGTTAGACCAGGGAAGTCAAGGCAAGTACATATCATCCGCAACAATCCAAGGTGGTTTTAGGTTAAACATAAGAGTACGAGGAGTTTTTAACTGGTTTATAATTCAGTTTAATAATGGTGTATGATCCATATGACCTACATGAACAAACAAGACCATTATCTCCTCTTCAGATTCCCCTTGAAATCAATGAAATGAAGCGGTGGAGACACCTCCGCTTCTGTCCACAAGGGGCTGCCAGTATCAACACAAAATAAAAGTGGCTTCTAAATATTATATTCTATTAATTTCTACACACTGTGATGGGTTATATTATATGTATTATTGTTACAATGAGCAGGACTACAATGTCAGGTATTTAATTAACTCGATCAGCCAAAAAGAGACATTAATGTGTACTTTTTTTCATCTATAAATGGTGTCTCAATTTAATTTCCAACTATATAATGATGGATATCACTTTTGTGGTATAAAATGTTCCAGAAGATCGCCCATCTCTAAGGCAAGGTGGAGAATAATGAGTGCTTTAGAGGCCCCTGCCACTGAAAATTTTTTTGTTTATTCACTTGAGTGTTTGAGTTTGACATAAAAACCTTTTCAATTGTTTTCATGCTCATCTGCTGAGGAGGGAAAGTTTCTGTTAACCTTCATTTTTTAAATTTATTTAACACATATAGGCAGTGTATGCACACTGAGAATGGACTGTTCAGTAAAGCAGGAGACATCTTGTGTCCAACAGTTAAACGTGAAATTAAAAATATTTGGATATTCAATACAGGAGGAATAGATGTAATTTTAAGAATGTTTAACGAGGTAACACGTTTGTTGTCAGGCACAAATTTACAAATTACAATTCTACTTTGGCAACATCATTCTGAATTAGTTTCCTGACACATTTTATGGGCAATATCTGAGAAAAGACCAATACATTGGTCTGACCTCGATGAAATAAAAGCGTCGCCAAGGGTTTATGATGCCAGGATGTGAATCCTCTGACAAATAAAATATCAAGTTTCACATAAAAAACTAAAGAAGAATGGGGAATTATAAACACAATGAGTAGAGTGGACAGAGAGATATTATCTATAAAGCAGGCGCGAGTGAGCTGTGAAAGAACAATAATAAACTAAAGGAAGTTATTATGTGGAGAATAGAGAGTGAGTGCATCACTTTATCTTCATTCACCTCAAATATGAGAATACAGAGACAAAAACAAAGCTAGGTCACGGTTATAAATTCTACCATTACATTATAATCTATAACTCTGAGCTAGGTCAGCTAAAAGAAGCATCACTGGACTCATTTCTTCTCTCTTGTCTGCGGACATTGCCAAAGCCTGGAATTCACTTCAACATCCAGAGCATTCATAGATGTGACGGTCCCTCGAGAAGCTAAAAATGTGCTACTAACACATTTATCAGATCCATATTTCATAAAAACACGACAGTCGTCACTCATGTACACTTATATACTGTAGTGACGTTTGCCACGGGGGAAAAAACTTTTAGGAGAAACCAAGAGAGCAACAGATGTGAGGATGAGACAGGAACATCAGACAGACAGTGTTGCTTAATGGATGAGTTGGTGATATTTTTTATTTCTCTTGTTGCCAAGAGCAACAATTAGTTAATCCTACTAATATTGTATTTCCTGTGTAGCCAAAGCCAGATAGAGATTATCCCTCTGTGTCGCAGTCCTCCATTACTGTACGTTATTGTTCAAAATCTACACAGCTGCACTTTTATTTTAACATTATTTTCACCACCAGTTATCTGCCAATAAAATCTTGTCAGTAAACAGTTTAATAATTTAATGAATGTTCAGTATCAACATTTATGCAGTTTGCCAGACATGTTAAATACAGTAACAACATTTCCCCCTTGTGCATGCCTCAATTTGTGTGTTTGGGCACCGTTCCTCGACTGCACATATTGTTGGATCATTTTTGGTCTGGTGGATAGCGAGTGCAAAAATCCATTCAATCCAGTAGGGATGATGTTATTTTCTCCAAACTGCTCGGGTACAGGAAGTGTGGAGAGGAGTGTAATAAACTGAATCACCAATTCTCTGATACATCCAAAACTAAACATCATGAGGTTCAAACATTAAGTATATTGCATGGTTTGTCCTTCTACTTTAAAGCTATACTCAATATATTTTAAAAGCAATTGGATGATCACCAGAATCTGCAGCTCCCCTCAGCTTTACAGAGAGTTTCAGCTCATTATTTAGATGTCTGACCGGCAACTTCACTGTTTTGGCTCGGCATCACCTCAGCAAGAAAAAAGTCAATCGATTGTCAATTTTATAGAGCTCAAGGCGATCCCATCAAATGTCTTGTTTTATTTCCTCCACAAATTCAAAACTCAAAGATATTCAATTTTCTATCTTGTAAAACATGAAAAAGCATTAAAATCTCTCATTTGAGTGGGTGGAACTTTAATTACTTCGCCGATTCATTTTCTGTCATTTGTCTAATTGATTAATCCACTAATTGTTGCAACTCTAGTGACATGTTCCTTTGTTCCTACAATAAATGGCCATTGATGTACATTTTGAGTAAATCCTCACTCAATACTCACAATTACTGTGTTTTAATCTGCTGCACAAAATAGACCCTGCAGAAAATAGCAATTTACTATTTAGCACCAATTAGTGTTTGGTCAACACAAAAATGAAATTATATTTTGTGACCGGTTTGAAAGGCTTACATCTTGAGTAGGATCCAACAGGCTTGGGGCTGAGTGCTACTGACAGAAAGTCAGAAAGTATACAGAGAGGGATTAACACATCACTGGTTTCGGTCATGGGATTTATTGACAAAAGGAAAAATATAGAACAGAACAGACTTATCCTTTAAGGCTGAATTGTGTTTCACTTCTAAATCTTCAATCTGGATGTTCGACTTGTGGAAAGTTTCGGAAAGCTTTAAAAATGAAAGAAGGCATCCAAACTACTTCTAAAAATCAAAGAAATGTATAAAACATGACAACAATCTCAGATACAGACGTAGACGCAGAGAAGTCATCCTCTGAATATTTTTGTTGTCTGAATGACCTTGCTACTGTATAGACATAATAAACAGTAAATTGCAGCAGTCTTTCTGGTGCAGGATTCAGGTCACAGGGGGGGTTAGGTGCTGAGTCTCCCGAGGGAGGTGGGGGCACAATTGTGTGCATGATGGGACGAGATGCCCAGCAGCCAGGCCACCTGCTGGATGGCGAGTTGCTAACAGAGAAAGTACACAAGCACATGGAGAGCACATACAAACAGTCATGCGTACACAAGCCAGTTGTATAGTGGACACGCACCAAGTTAAAAAACATATTCAAAAGATAATATGTTATCTATGTTCTTCACTGAATGTATAATTTTATTCCAGTTCATTGGACAGTCCCCCCCCTCTCTCTCTCTCTCTCTCTCTCCCTCCCTCCCTCCCCCTCCCCCTCCCCCCCTCCCTCTCTCCCTCTCCCTCTCCCTCTCCCTCCCCCTCCCTCTCTCCCTCTCTCTCTCTCTCCCTCCCTCCCCCCCTCTCCCTCACACACACACACACACACACACACACACACACACACACACACACACATCTCGTCTGGCACCTGCAAAGCCACATACTTCCGTGTGCATCTTGGCTCGCATTAACATCCGCAGGCTCAGTGGCGTTCACAGATGTCTTCTCCTGATCCCATAATAAAAAATGATCACACTCAACGCCAGACATTTCCCCCACCTCTGCTAGTCCTGCATTGCATCACCTTAAGCCAACTGGCTGTAATCAGGAATAATTCTAAACATACAGGAGATTTTTTCACCTCTAAAAGAGTATATACAAAAGGCACTGAATGCAAAACAAAACACCACATGTGACATAATACATTAATGCCGGTCCTTGGGGCAATCTGAGTAATGTCAACTATAAAAGCGCTATAAGATTCACTCTGTGAGTCAAAATAAACACAGTGAGGCAGTGCATGTTTTTAGCTCTCAATCATGACCAGTAGCAGAGCCTTTGGCAGCATGTGTAGGCTGCCTTGTTCAAAAGCTGCGGCTCCAGTTACTGATCCGAACACACACTCTCGTAGTCCATCACCCACATAGATGATGTTCCCACACAGCTACATAAGAGGAAAACACTAAAACTCCCACTCCCACCTAAATCTGAAGCTCCTCTCCTTACACATTACTTAACAGGACAACAGCAGAACCCGTCCAGCCTGAGCGTCTAAAGACAATTCTAAAAATACAAACACCTTTTGATCTATGACACACAGCACACAGACAGCGAACACACAAATCACTCTGGCTGGCTCCTGATCTGAGAGTGATTGTTTTAAATGGCTTCCATTACAGCGAGCGAGCGAGGCTGGGCTGATATAGTGTAGCTTTCACCTATGGTGCAATCTATCGCGCTTTAATCAGATCACTAGTCACAAGGGCAAAGAGGCAAAGAGACGGATCCTGGAGAACAGCCACATTGGATCGCTTGTGCAAGCACATGTGAAATCAAAGGCTCTGCCTTTCTCTCTTTTTTAATTTTCTCATTTTTACTGAGATTATCTGAAGTGTTTTTAGAATTTATGTACTGCTTTTTGTGTCTAAAAGGCTCAGTTCAACCAAATCTGGGGACGCAACTAACAATTACTTTCATTAACAGCTGGACTGATCTTTTTCCTCAACTAATCTATTACTATCTGATTCATGAAGTTTTTGTTAAGGTTGTGCACCCTTAAGGCAAGTTTAAACAGCTGGAACTGCATGTCCAATAATTTGGGGGAGGTAAACATGAAGTATAATGTTGCCATGGATTCAGTGAGCTACACTGTGGGCTTCAGCCTATTTTTGTTTATTCCTTGGCAAATTGGCATCATTAAAAGAATGCCGAATTGGCTATTAGCAGTTGCTGCTTGCAATGAACCCATGGATTTACACACAACTATCACTGTGTTAATTACTAAAGAAGAATTTTGCTTACTATCATAGTCGACTAACAAATCCAGAAAATTATCATATTCAAGAAGATTACTATTTTTGCTAAAAAGGGTGTCAAATCAGTCTATTTTCAAATAATAGCTATATTTAGCCAGGCAGATCATTTACTTAGGTTCTAAGATATGCATCTCTAAGTTTCATCCAAAACATACAATGCAGACGAGGGGAATTTCTATTGTGATGTGCACAGCGTTGAAAAATGACATTGCAATGTGCCTTTCCAAAAAAAGTGTCCTTCTTACTGTTCATAATCCCCAGACATGAGTGTGAAGAGTTTGTATATGAACTATTTCTACAGCAGAAATTTGCTCTAAGGTTGAATTTTAGATTAACTGATTATTTAAGAAACGCAATGCTGCTCTGTTGACTTGCAAAAAGCCTTTGGTTGCAAAACATACACAAATGAAGGTTTAAATTAAGTATAAATAAGAACAAGCTCACACACACACACACACACACTTATTGTTGAGTACATCAGTCTGAAGTACAGCTTTCTTCTGGTGCCACTCCCTTATCTGCAGTCATCTAGGAAGACTAGACATAAAATAATCTGACAGTTCAGATCAGAGTCCTGCTCACACAAACAAAAACACACACACAGGGCCACTGGCAGCCAGCAGAGGGGGCTGTCTTTGTCTGACATTGAGACAGCCCTTGTTGGCTGGAGGTCATTGCCCAGATAAGTCACATTTAGTAGTGTTCACATCCTCTCCCACTCCCTTGTGTCAGGTAGCTGCTCTGCTGTAGTTTAAGAAGTCAGTGTTTTCTCACAACTTTCACACTTGCTGGAGCACCAGTCTAACACACACCCACACCCCCTTTGTTTGTGAGCACTGAACGCTGCTTTGGTCTGACCTTCACAGCATTTCAGAGCACTACACTGCCTGCACGCTTTGTTCCTGCTGAAGATTTAGGGCTTGTTACATGATCATCACTTACATTGGCACTTTGCACAGGGGTCTTTCTCATACTCCAGCAGATCTGCAGCACGACTACGAACGCTGGTGCTCCTCCGCAGTCCTCCACCATCCCGCACTCCTCCATCCCGTAGGCGGGCCGCTTCCTCCTTGGCGTACACACCCAGCTCCTGGGTGTACCGCCCATACATCTGTGTATATGAAAGACACAAGAAGACAGCTTTTATACAGGTGGTGCAAGTGGGAGGCAGAGAAAGAAATGTCAGTGTGATGCAGCAGGTTTTTAGTAGGGTCACAGTAAAGATAGTCAGCTTCTGTGAACACACTGAGGTTCAAACTCTGAGTAAACAGAGCCAGGTGTCAGAAAATTCACTGCCTGCAACTCACAGCTCCTCACTACACAGCTTTTTTTAGAAAGAAAAAAAAATCCACTCAGCTTTGACTCAACGCTCTTGTAATGACTTCTTCTCTTCAGACAGATGAACAGACGATAAGCTCCACCTGTCGGCTCCCAGCTGATTAACTCTGCAGGGCTGCCACACAATTGACTCCTAACGATGAGAGGCGGAGTTCTTTGCAAACTACACATAATCAATCACGTATAAAGCCTGAATCTGAGCCATAGGTGTTGTTGTTGGAGTTTTGGCTGGTGTGTAGTTACTAATACCATAATGGAGCTTTTCAAGTGTCTGTTTGGTGTTGCGGTAGTGGTTGTTGTTTTGGCTTGTGAAGTTACTGCCCAGCCTCACTGGGCGCTGCCTCTGCAGAAACACCAACCTCTTCTTCCTCCTCAGCATCAACAGTCAAAGGTCCCTCCACCTGCAGCTCCCTTTGATAAATGCCAGGTGGAGCAGAGTGAGAAGATCCAGTGTGGGACTCGAGATATCACCACTGAACAGTGTGAAAAAATAAACTGCTGCTTTGATGGGCGGCAGTGCTACTACGGGAAAGCAGGTATCTGTGCTCTCTAGAGTAGTTTCTAGTGCCTCTCATGCAAATGCTAGTGTAAAATATCTCAACTACTGCAACACAGAAATTCATCCTTCTATTCTTCTCTCATCCAGTGACTGTGCAGTGTACCAGAGATGGCCAGTTTGTGGTGGTTGTGGCTCGAGATGCCACTGTGCCGCACATAGATGTGGATTCAGTCAGCCTGCTGGAAACAAACGATCCCTCTTGTACTCCTGTTGACTTCACCTCTGCTTATGCCATCTTTCAGTTCCCTGTGACTGCATGTGGCACTACAATTAAGGTGGTTGGTGCAGTCTTTGCTTTAGCCAATATGTGAGAACTTTAAACATGGTTGAAGGCTGTTTAAAAAAAAAAAAAGTCATGCCAAATTGATAGGTGCCCAGCATGAGTTTCTCAACCCTAAGATGACTTCTTATTTGAGAAGCTTGAAACTGCCTGTTTACCATGTTTTTGTTTAATAGCTGTTTTTTGGTTTTGTGTTTTTTTTTTGTGTTTTTTTTTTTTTTTTTTTTTATTTTCCAACCAGCAGGAAGAAGAGGGTTATGTGGTGTATGAGAACCACATGTCTTCCTCATACGAAGTGGGAATTGGACCCAGAGGAGCAATCACCAGAGACAGCCATTTTGAGTGAGTTTGTGTAAAATCAATCTCCCTGATTGCTTTTGTGACCCACTGAGGTTTCCTGAGATAAATCCCTCTACTCTCTTCCAACAGGTTATTGTTCCAGTGTCGATATTCTGGCACGGCTGTCGAGGCTCTGGTCATGGAGGTGAACGATGTTCCTCCACCTGTGCCGGTCGCTGCTGCAGGACCCCTCAGAGTGGAGCTGAAACTGGGCAACGGACAGTGTCACTCAAAGGGATGTGTGGAAGGTGAGCGGTGCTCATACCAATACCAGCTAGTTCAGAATCGCTGTACTAAAACCACTATTTTGATTGCAGAAGAGGCAGCGTATGGCTCCTTCTACACTCAAGAAGACTACCCAATCACTAAAGTTCTGAGGGAACCAGTCTATGTCCAGGTGAACATCCTGGAGAGGTCTGATCCAAACATCGTCCTGAACCTGGAGCACTGCTGGGCCACTTCCACCCCCAATCCTAACAGTCTGCCACAGTGGGATATTCTGGTTGATGGGTATATAAAAATATTATTTCTTCACTTGATTGTGTAAAATGTAGTTTGTATCGTGTTTAAACATAAGCTCTTTTGCCGGTTGCAGGTGTTCCTACCATGATGACCGTTACTTGACCACAGTGGTGCCTGTGGATGGATCGTCTGGACTCCATTACCCAACTCACTACAAGCGTTTTGTCATTAAAATGTTTACATTTGTGGATCAAAACACCTTCACTCCTCAGAAAGAGACGGTACAGTTCATTATTCCCTTCAGTGACTATCTTACTGTAGTTTCTTTGACCAAATATTCAACTTTCAAACTTTCTTCAGGTGTTCATCCACTGTGCTACAGCAGTGTGTTATCCCAGCAGCACAAACTCTTGTCAACAGCAATGCCACAGGCAACGTGAGTAGAGCCTTAACTGTAAAATATGAATGCAACTGATCTCTTTATCATTAAAAATGTAGCCTTGTGGCATTGCCAGTTGAGCCCAGTTAGCTCAGTCAGTAGAGCTGGCGGCCCATATACCGAAGCTGAGTCCTTGATGCAGCGGCCCAGGGTTCGAATCCGACCTGTGGCCCTTTGCTGCATGTCATCCCCCGTCTATCTTCAGCTGTCACATCAATAAAAGCCATGACAGGCCTCTAAATTGTTGGCACAACAATTGCTGACCTTCATTACCTTGACATAAATGCAAATTTGGGAATTCAGAGGCTAAAAAAACTGATCATGGATCTGCAGACAACACCCCCCTTCCCCATTTAGCATTTAAAAAAAATTGTCAAATCTAAGATGACAGGTGCACTTTTCATCCTTCTCTTGCAGGAAGAGCTGTAGCTGCAGTGAGGAAAGTTTCCTCAAGTCAGAGGGCTCTAGTCTCAAGCGGTGAGGTGATCCTGACCGAGCCGAGGGCTCCATCTGCTTCCAACACCAAATTGAAGAGATGACACTCGACTGGCAGCCATATCTGGCCGTGACTTTTAATAAAAGCTCATGCTCACAACCTGGGTCTTGTCTGAATTGCTATTTGAAGGTCACTTTTTTTTTCTATTTTGCTGAGGTAGCCTGTGCAGAGGCAGTGTAGTCGGCAAGTAATGCAACCCCTCTTCCTGATTTGTGCTGAGAAACCACAAGGTTGCATTACAAATGGATACTTCTCTGCAAGTGCTTAACCGAAGATGTACAACGAACAATAAGATAAATGTGCACTAATTATCAACTGAAAATTAAAGTGAAATGTTCTTGACTAGTAACCAGTCTTACAGTACTGATCTGAACATGATTCAAGCCTTATCTCTTTCTGGCGTGCGACATTAAGAGGAGCATCACGACTCCTCCAGGCTCACTGCTCTTCTCCCCCTCTCATTCTTTATTTTTGATAACAGTCCCTCAAGGTTTTTCTCTGTATGCTACAACTTGCAACATCTCTCCTCCACTGCTCTGCACACCCCGCCTCCCCTTTTGTCCCACTCGAACTCCTCCACCCCCTCCTCTCCTCATTGAGATGGGCATCACGACTCCACCAGACTCGCTCTTTCTGCCCGCATGAACAGGAGGTGCAGAGGGAAAGCAGAGCAGCCGTATAGGTTCAGTCTGACTGACGAGCAAAGGGAGAACCATGCTGTCAAGGATGCTCATCTCCCTCCATGTCAACTGCCAACCTGCTGGGAAGCATTTAAGCAAGATGCAAGCTATACATCACATTCAGACAGCAGCCTTGTCTATGAGCCACACTGCAAAATCCCACAGGAATTGGCCAAAAGGTGCCAGCTGACAACCATTAACAGCTGCTGTGTGGACATGCATAAACATGTCAAAAGGAGTGAAATGTAAACAAGTTTTGCCACTGGTTTAAAAAAATGCTGTCAATTAAACCAAATTGGTGGATGCAGATCAGACAGTTTGCATGTGTGTGTGGCATAGTAAATATTGGGGAAATAATTTTAGCAACTGAGAGTGAAAACTGATACTTTTCAGTCAGAACTGGGCTTCAATCTCCCTTGTCCTAAATCCCAAACAGGTCTTTCATTCCTAAATAAATACAACTGTATAACATTACAAATTCTAATATTGACTATGCCTTCAAGCTGCAGTCTCTCTGCATTTTTTAGAGCTATCCATTGAAATGGATTCGCTTTGCTCTCAAAGCTACAATGAAAAACAGAAAATTAAGTATTAAAGCTTTTGAGGCAAAGACAACACAACCTTCAGCATTATTTCTAAAACTAAGTAAGGTAATCATGTGCAGCAATGTCATTTTGTAATTTCTAGTAATTATGTATTATTGTATTTTTTAAAGACTCTTTTTGGCACTTTTTTGGAAGGTGGCAGGAAAGCAAGGGGAAAGAGAACATGCCAGAAAGAGATCCCCTGCCAGAACCAGACCAGGGACAATGTGCTTATGTCACCATTAGGCCACAAACTACAGATGGAAAATAATCAGTTTGTTCAGTTGATTCATAGTTCTAGTCATTGACATAATTCATTCCCTTTTATCTAAGCTATACGGCCACATTACTGTTCAAATGTACTTCGATATGTACATCAGTAAGGGAACGCACCACCGCTCATACCACAACATTCTGTACTGATTCAGACTTTAGTTGCAACAGAGTTATCACATCATTGTTTCTGTGCCGTTAAGTCACCCACTATTTTTATCTATAACAGTGACGGTCACACACAGAATCTGAAAAGCAAAATGACTACAGTTTAGAGGGCAGTGGCACATCGTCTTCATCATTTAGCCTGGGTTAGTATTTCCTAAATTAAGTGACCCACATCTGTCACCTTCTACAAATCTTGACCAGTGACGTAATGCGTGGAGATAAGTGACAGACACCGTCGGGTTTCCCAGTTGGTAACTGGTCTACATTATCATCACTACACTTGGAAATTAAAAATCTATTCACAGCTACACTGAATTACAACTTTCTTACTGAATCTTGTGCATTGGCGAGCAAATTGTCATGCACCCACGCATACAGTATAGACGCACACAAACCCACCACCAGCACCAGACAAACACCCACTATCAGTACAAGCGGTTGCAGCCTGTTTCTTTCTTTGGTCTGTATGAAAGCAAACACTGGCCATCTGGAGCACGGCCCCCTGGGAGAGCAGCAGGTGGGACCCTGTGGGTTAAATGAGCTGTTATCTGTAACCAGTTTACCTCCCACATGACTAACTTCTGTATCTACATTAGTCAGTTTACCTCCCACATCACAACCCTCTACACCAGTTCAACTCCTGCCTCCCACAATTTGCTACTGACTGGCTTTTCATAGAAAGCAGAGCCTACAGGGAGTAGTGTTACAGTTTGGGGGAAGAAACTGTGTTTACCACAAATAAATTGGTGGCAAAGACTGAAAGATAATCTAACATTCTTCTAATTCAATTGGACAACCTGCATCCTGGAGCCATACAATTTAGACAAAAAGGAAAGGAGCTTGAGTGGAGTGGAGTAAGCGGTGAGCAAGCGGCAGCTATCATGGCTGACTGTGATAGGCTGACAGTCACCTGTCAATCCAAACAACATGACTCACATCATAATTGTCGTCCTTAATGTCTCCTTATTTGAACAATAATGCTCATAGTTGCTACCTAAAACAAATGAGTAGAAGTCAAATGAACTATTAGGACCCAAAGTTCTTGTAGAAAAAAAATACTGACTTTGCATCTGGTGAGAAACTGCAGCCTGAGACTCTTTCACACTTTCTTCAGTCGAGATATTCTGGGAATACGAGGCAATGAACCATCTCTACTGAGATAGCAGAAAAATATGCATTAATATTGTGAATCCAGTCAGTAGTGCCTACAGTACAAACGTCTTCTATTATCTCACCAAATAATATTCCCCCACATTACTTGTACATGGTTGATGGTTGATTACCTTCAGCTTTTATCCCAGTTCTTTCACAATTAACATGCAGTCTTCCGTTGTATAACATCTACTCGGCAAACTGGAACCTGTTATGAACATTTCAATACTTATGTCAATACTGCCATTGATAATGTAGGAGCACAATATAAAGATACTGTATAAGACAATTTCACAGATTTTGACATACCATCTATACTGTGGCAGCTATCAGATTTTCACTATATGATTAGCGATAATCCAAGAGAACTCACAATAACGATATTATCTCAATATCAATAGAAAATTTGAAAAAGAAAATTCTGTAAGTCTGTCTGCCTGCCCGAGCTGTTAAGGAGACAAATGGGGAGAAGCACTAGTGCCAGGTGTCGTTTTAATATAACTAGATCTAGTAATGGCGACCTGTCGTTACAAAGTCACCTTTAACTTTTATTGTTGGTTATGTGTCTTTTTTGGGAAAATTAATTACACTCAGTTACAGAGAGTCTGTAACTGTACAAAAAGAAGTGTACAAAAAGAACAATTACACTGAGTGTGAACCACAAAGTGAGAACGGAAAGAAAGAAACAGTGCCTTTTATCACATTTACACGATATTATCACATTTGCATTACTAACGTGATATCAATATTTCATGTTTAAAATATCATCAGAACTGGTATATCGTGACATCCCTTGGCACACTAGAGATGCTACAATCTATATCTAATAAGAAACTGCAGTACAGAAATGCTGAACTATGTTTGAGGTAATTTAGTGTCACCAGGAAGCGCTGATACTTTACATACTATAAGACGTCCCGCTCAGTTTGTATCACGTATCAAATCTAATTGATCTGCAACAAGATTAACAAGATTGTTTGCTCATCTTATATCTGAGGGCAGGTTGTCCGCTAGCTGCAGTGTTAGCGGTTCGATTGTGTCGAAGTGTCCTTGAGAAAGAACCCCAGGTTGCTCCCCAGGCGCCCATGGCTGCCAACTGCTCCGAGTACATAGGAGAGGTCAAATGCAGAAGACAAATTTCAATTTAATTTATGTAAAAATACTGATGACAATAAAGGCTGAAAGGCCTCAATTCTTCTTCTTTAAAAACCACTACTAGTACTATCGACCAATATATACATACCGAAATATAAGTCAGTATCCACCTCAGAAATCCAGTATCGTGTGAGTTGTATTGCCCACATCACACTTACTAAGAAGGGACTCACCCTAATAACTACCAGTATTCACAGGTTCACCTTACAGACTGAAAACCTACCAGTAAAATGGAGAGAGCACCACATGTCCACCAACTCTGTGCTGCGCAAGACCCCCCACTTTACTGCTGCACCACTCACTCTGCCACCTTTCAGGCCATGTGCAAGCCTTGCACAACAGATGAGATAAAAAGTTCTTCATTATTCAGCAATTCCCACGGCACTGCAGGATAATGTATTCACTGTGAGGCAACAGGAAGGACAAATATTTGACACTCTAATGATGAAGGCTTCAACATCTAAAACTTTCATCCTTGCTGCTTTTTTATTAATACATATTCATAAAACAATTTTAATTTTTCTTTTTTGCAGCGTGTGAGAGTGAAAGGACCCATCTCTGTGGAGAGAGAAAGATGGATGTTTTAGACCCTTAAACTCCTCTGTACTGTTGCGGCAGTGTGATTACTTAAACGCTTGCTGAGTGTGTATTGATGAGACCAGGGGAATAACAGGACTAAAGCACTCGGGTTAAACTGAGCCCTGAACCCTCCAGGGATGAGATTGAAAATTGAATTAGAGGAGGAAGTGACAAATTTGACTCATCCCGCTGTCTACATTTACATTAATATAGGTAGCGGAGGCTGGTTCTAGAAGAGTTACTCATGACTCAGAGCTCACACACACACACACACACAGACAGTGAAATAAACATTAAAAAACCTTGATGCTGTCGAGGCAAACCTGTGCACGCGTGGAACCCAGACCAGTGAAAATGCACCAACACACACACACACACACACACACACACACACACACACACTCTGATCATGTTAGTACTGTAGACGGCAACACAAAGGATGGGGGAGGGTTGGGGAGGGTTGGGGAGGGGAGGGAGGGTTGGGGAGGGGAGGGAGGGTGATGTCAGA